GATTCATGGGTGATGCTACCAGACAATAAAGGTCGCCCATCTATGACCTCAACATGAACAGGTTTTGATTTTTGTATTAAAGGGATCTTATGACGCTTTACAAATTCTTCGTCTAAAAAACAAGGAGATGCTACTGAGTCTAGTAGTGCTAAGGTTCTCAGTTTTTGAGGGCCGATAAACAGAGGGATTGTAAAACAAAGTGCAGGTTGGGCAGAAAGAAAGGAACCTGATTGTTGTTGGGATATTTCATTGTCCAGCCGCACGGTTCCTACTGTGGCTGGGCATCTTCGTTTTCCTAAACAAATACTCCTCTAGTCTTGACTATGCCTCGATTTTTCTTTTTGGGGCAGTTTCCGACTTTGTGGCCTTCTCCACCGCAATACAAGCATAAATTTTCTTCCATACGACGCTTTTTTTCTTCTATAGTAAGAGATTTGATACGTACCGCATCAATTTGCATGTCTTCTACCTCTGAATGCGAATTCACACTGCTTGCCGACATAGTTGGAGCATGGCAAATTGTATGTTGTCTTGAGCGTTGGTCTTGGCGACGTTGGAATAGGCGATTATCGCACTTCACAACTTGGCTAATGGCTTCATTGAGCGTTCGTGGATCAGAAAGAGTTAACAGCAAATCCTTCACATCATCTCTTAAACCCCAATAGAATTGACTCATCAACGCTTCTTCATCCCAATTGATGTTGCATACTAATTACCTGAAATCCGAAGCATAGACTGATGTAGAACACATCCCTTGTCGTAGCGACCGGATCTTTGTTGTAGCCCATCGAACCTTATCGTGTTCACCAAATGCTTCCCGAAATGCGTCCAAAAAGGTTTCGAAGTTGTTTAATATGGATGATCGTTTCTCAAACAAAGGAGCAAACCATGATAGAGCTTGTCCCGTAAGTAAGGTTCCAACAAGCCCAACACGTGACTCCTCCATTGGATATCGTTCGGGCTGTAAAACTGTTATCAACCCGATTTGATTGACGAATCCTCGAAACTTGGAACGTGTTCCATCAAACTTATCTGGAAGGCTAACTCGAGGCTCCTTATGTTGTAGAACTAGTGGTTCTTGTCGAACCTGAGGTAAAGTTGTTTCTCCAAGTGTCGAAATTTGAGGCTGGTGTAGTTTAGATTGTGCTATCTCAGATATTCCATCATTATGAAGCCTTGCCACCACTCTTTCTATCTCTGCAGTTCTTTGTGATAACGTAGCGAGGGCATTCATAATAGCATCTAACTTAGACTCCGAACTTTCTGTCATACTAATGTCTTGACCTCCGGCCATTCTAAAAGAAGGACAAAAATGACCCTATAAGAGGCAATATTGGTTTATAGGAGGGTAATCCACAACCTATAAAACGCCTTAAGAATTTCAAGAAGAGGGGTAATCCACTCTCTCCAAGAAGAATAAGACTCCAATATTGTAACAAAAGAAGTATCAGTTTAGAGGAGGGTAATCCGCAACCTCTAAAAAATGCTAGTATACCTTCAAGTAGAGGGGTAATCCACACTCTACTAAGAAACAACTAGCTCTGATATCTCAAGTTAGTGTAGTCTCGACAAACTGTCACGGACACAAAATACAAACTTGAAATCTAACAAGAAGTTCAAGAAGAAGTGGCAGAACTAGATTAAACAAATGAGTACAAGAACAACACCAGAAAGGTGAGCTAGAACTCCAAGAGATGTGTTGTCGAGACTGAAGAACTCTTCAGCCTCGATCCCTATATATACTCCTACTTAGGAAGCTTTTCGAGCTACTTCTATTAACTAAGAAGCTTCTAGAAGGTTCCAGAGGCTTCCTTTCTAGAAGGTTCTAGAAACTTCTCGAACTACTTCTATTAACTAGGAAGCTTCTAGAAAGTTCCAGGGGCTTCCTTGCTAGAAGCTTCTAGAAACTTCTCTTCTATAAGGTTCCAGAGACTTCCTTTCTAGAAGCTTCTAGAAACTTCTCTCTAAAAGTTTCCAGAGGCTTCTCTTCTAGAAAGTTCTAAGGAATATGTCCCTAACAGGATATATCTTTCAACTATCTTTATCATAGAAAGAGATTGGATTTGATACCAAATAACAAGATTTTGTTAGAAGGATAATTTATTATTTTGTGTAGTTTAATAGAACTAGATATATAGTTTCAAAATTAGATTAAAGAACCCATTTGGTGCAATAAGTATATATAAAATTTTGGTATTTTGATGTATATAAGACACATCTTATGATGTACAATTAATATTGATAGATTAGCATGTATCAATATGTGTTTATAAATGTATTGTTATACTATCTCTAGAAATCAATTTGAGATAGATGATTTTTTTGAACTAGTTATTTAGATTATTCAATGTGATTTACAAAAGTATGAATTACTTCATAAGAACCATTATGATTGGAACTTGATGTTACCATAGATTGTGTTGGATTATTACTTTAGTAAGTATGCATCTTTGACATCTTATAGTTTTAATCAATTATTATATGGATAAGAGTCAATCATACCAAGCTTAGCATGTAATATGCTAGTTTTTGTTTTGGACTTAAATGACCTTGATATCTAGACTCAATGTTTATATAATCAAACAAAGTTCTTTAAGAAAGCCATGCTTATGGCTATGGAGAATTAATCTATTGCTTAATATTGTGATACTTTATAATATGTTTGCATTGTAGTGAAGCTTATTGACCTCAATTGTAGAGATTCTCTATAGAAGATTATATGTATTTGCAACATAAGGTGTTTACAATACTTGATGTTAAAACATAGTATATTATTCTTTTATTAAGAATATGTTGCCTTGTGGTTTTTTATTGCTTAAAGACAATGATGAATAAGAAGGTTGAGAGCATTCAAAGAATTATATTCATTTTCATCTTTCTATTGATAATTTTAGATATCTTAATTTGACAATTATGTCAAATAGACTTTTTTATTTTGTAAGTAATAAAAATAAAATTAAAAATTGCTACCATGCTATGATATGATTAATACCAATGTAGATGTTATATGACATATTTGAAATAACTTCTTTCAACTCTTTTTTAAAAAAATTAGATATGTCATTGTTGTAAGAAGTCTTTTAGCTATGCCTCAATTATTGACAAAGATTGAAGTTATCTTCTTTCATGTTAGCCATACATTTTGGTGGTCTAACTGCTACAACATTGGCTTGGTTGTGTACAATTTTGTAGTAGTATTATTATGACATTGATTTCCAACTATATATATATATATATATATATATATGGTTGTCATATTTAAATAAAGAAATTCTTAATTAACTAGAAGAATGACTTGAGAATGTTTAAAAATAAAGCATGTTCTTAAAACATCTAATTATTTTTTATATATTGATAGTATTTTGATTTTTTAATTTCTTATATATGTAAATTTAAACATGAATTTAGAAATTAATAATAATATAATAAATTTATTTGGATATAAAAAAAATTCTATGATTTGGTTACTATTTATTTACGTAGTCAAAACATTTATTGAGTTTCTTTTAATATGATATGATATCAAACCATTTGCTAAAATGTTTTCTTAGTTTATCTTTGTGTCAAATTTAGATATCCTCATCATTGCCCTCTCAGATTTAAATAAACTAGGTTTTATTTTAAAACATATCCAATCTAAAACTGCAACAAATTTCAACAAAGATGACTCATTTTAAGTTTTATTCTTGTTAAATTACGATCTTGCTTTTTAATTTAACAAACAAATCTGCATGACAAAATTAAAAATATTTATTGATAAAAATAAAAGATGGATGAAATCTCACATGATTTCTTTTCATTTTATTTTTATTTTTTACACATTACACTTTGTTTTCTTTGAATAAAACTAATAACCAATCTCCAAAATTTGTGAAAGAGCAAGTAATGTCAAAATATCTTAAACCATATCATGCCTCTCAACCAATCCATAGACCTTGCTTAAACTGCCCTTATGCAAATCCAAAACCTTCTGTTTTCTTGTGAAAGATTTTAAATACATTCCAAATCGACCAATGATTGGCAAACTTTACAAGGATAAAGGGCGTGGTTTAGTGTAATAGAAGTGTATGGTTTGGCTCAAGTCTACAACGACTCAACTGAGTGATAAAATGCAAAAACTGCTTTGAATTTTTTTATCAATTGAATCACTAAGCCAATTCAATTTTCTTTCTTATGGAGCACATCAGAACCTTATTTCTCTATCCAAAACAATTTTTTTCCAAAAAACCCCAAGATAGCTGAAAATCCATAAAACGTCGATTCCAACGATAGAGTTCAATGAAATTAATGACCTAATTCAGACTCTAATTGGACCAAAAAGCGTGCCACAAGCCACTGGAAGGAAGGTAATTTCAACAGATGAATGATACATCTACCCCATCCATCCACCACATCGCAGCTTTGGATAAAATATACACGTGAAAGGCAAGCACGGGCGGGACAACAAAGCCGCGGGAACATGCACACGGAGAGGAGGGAAATACGTACACCAAAGCGTACAATACAGAATTGGCGCACTAACGCCGGACCAGGGCAGAATACACACTAACGCGGAGTCCATGAAACCGTGGAGATCTTAGTAAATATAGAGGGGCCCTGAATCCCTAAATATCATGAGACTCGAACTCTGAAGAAGAGGAGGAGCCTGAAGACAAGCGAGCGAGCAAGCAAGCTAAGCTATTCAACCAACCAACCCAACGAACCCTGGCCCAGGCTCGGGACACGGCGTAGCTTGGCCAATATTTCCTCCCTCCGGCTATTTTAGCAGAGAGGACAGAAGCTAATTTAGGCCTCTATTGTGGTATTCAGAAGCCCCCATCGTTATCATCGCCGCTTGGTGTGGCCCAGAGGATGGGGGAATGGGTTCCCGAAGCCGTTCGCGTGGGTAGTTGGTCGGAGGGAGGAAGGGAAGCGAAGGGAGTTCGAAGAGGAAGAGGGGGCGAGATTTGAGGAGGAAATGATAGTGGAGGTGGAGGTGGTGGGGGAGGGTTGGGGGGGGGGGGTGGGGTGCCAGGAGCAGGGGATGAGTGTGGAGATGGAGGAGCTTGCGAGGTGTGCGAGCGGTGAGCCTCTGCTTGGTTAGAGCAGCAGCAGCAGGAGCAGAAGCATGGGACCACGCCGTGGCACACCGTTCCCACAGGAGACGCTCGCAGCAGGAGCAGGATGATTGATTGATGTAGCCATGGTCTCAGTCCAGACATGATGATCCCTGCCTCCTTGAGGAGGCAAGACGAACGAAATTGAGAGATAGCGAGAGTGAGCGTGAGAGAGAGGGAGAGAGGAAGAGAGGTAGGGGTGGTGTTTATGCTGCCGCGCTGTCTGTGGTATGATGTCGGACGTGTCGCATCAGACTGCAGGAGGAGTTTGAATATTATATATATATATATATATATATATATATTTTGGTTCTCGTGGTTTGATGATTGAGGGGGTGTCATGGTACAATTAGAGTGACTGTCGTGGAGTCGTGAGAGGGGAGGAGGAGTTTGGCCTTGCAAGCATCACCGGGAGTGAAAACATAGGGACTGGGAGCGATGCCGTGGAAATGGAGGGGGAAGGAGAGGGAGAAGGAGAGTGCGAAGGAGAAGGGCGTCGATTGTGACAGACATTTTGGGGTAATCAGGAAGATTTAATGGCGTTCGGGAGGATGTGATCGTGGTTCTGCCGCAGATGCACCTTAGGTGCTTTGTTTTCGATATGATACCGTTTTCCGCTCATGTGTGGGATATTCGGATAGTCCAAGTCTGTATGAGATATAAAGCGCGTGGATTTGGAGGGAGTTGTGCACTTCCGGCGATTCGAGTGTTGTAGTGCCGAGTGGTACAGGATGAATCCTGAGGCTGTGAGAGTGGAGGATTTTATTGCCGTCTCCTGATTGTTCTTCTTCGATTCTTCCTGCTGGATGTGGCGAGAGATGCCACGATGGAGGCAATGCAAAGCGTCGTATTTCCTTGTTTCGCGAACCTGCTTGTAGTGTGACATGTCCACTAAGTCCCCGTTTTTAGCCAGAATTTTGTGTGTATATTCTTCTTGATTCCAACTTCTGATAGTAGGTCGCCGCAGTTAGGGTAGGAAACGAGTGAGAATTACTGCAGCACTTGATCAACTGGCACCCTAACGTCTTTGAGACCAATTCGATTTGGTGTTGATGCTTTTGATTCTGAAAGCTTAAGCTGTTTCTTAGACCTTGAATCAGGTGTTTTAAGTTCACTTTTGGTCAAGTTCTGTTTATTAGGTGAGTTGTAATGTAGTTCAGTCCCACCCTTTACTCTCTCTATCCCACCTTCGGCACGATTCATTTTCAATGCCGTAATTTAAATGCTATTACTGCTCCTACCCTCAGATAATTTCCACCTTCTACCTCTTTTTTATTTTTATTTTAGTTTTCCCCCCATCTGAACGCTTTCAGAGTGCAATTGGCGTGTGGAAAGATTTTTATTTATTTATTTATTTATTTTTAGTTGATGATTGGTACGTGCTTGATTATTTTACGTCTTGTTTTGTAATAGTGAGTGGTTCAAGCACTTCTACAAAACTCGCTCTAAACTAAGTTGATTTCTATTTTACATGCAATTGGTTTCCTAGCGGTGAAGGGAACGCTTCAATTAAGTTGGTATAGAATTTGGGGTAGTTTGCACGGGTACACTGCCAGTGAAAGAGTCTGTTGTCCAGAGGTATGCGTTCTTTAGCTTTTGTTGCGGAAACATCCTCATAAATAAGTTTGTGGGTTTGTAGTTGATAGTGCTGTTGACGGGCCTCTACTGATTTTTCGAGTCATTGTGAGGGGTTTACAGGAAGGCGGGGATTAAAAAGCTAGGAAAAGGACAATTTTCTTGGTGCTCAGTGTCCATTGCATATTGCGGGTTTTTATTTGGAGAATCAAAGAGAATTTGAGCTTTTGGAGAAAAGTTTGATTTCCGTCGGAGGAAAATTTCGCGTGGAAACAATTTTATGAATTGATATGAGCGAGGACTGTATTGGAATTTTACCAGGACCTGGTGGAGTTGGGAAGTCTAGACTTGGTGCTGGATTCTTCGCAGTAGTCATCATGGACATGAATCAGAAACAAGATCCAGATGCTCAAGAAGCAACATTATTTTACCCTGTTCCCCATTCCCACTGGTTCCCCCGGTCTCTTGCTTTTAAGTCTTATAGACCTTCAAGGAGGAGACCGGAGCTGGGTCCGGGCCAGAGAGGAGCAAGAAAACCTCACTCTCAGATTTCACGACCCGTACGTCTTACCCTCATCTTTTATTCCATTATTTGTGCATCGTCGGTAAACGAGGACATATTTCGAATGAAACTTGGCCTTCTCTGTTATTAACCTTTTCAAGCGTGCAGATTTGTGTGGTACCTTCCGAGCATGCTAGATATTCATGTGTAGAAAAGTTTCGTTTGTAGTTGAACATTTTGTAGCAAGATTAAACTACTGATGTACATTTATCTTGCTCATCTCTGGTTTCAACCGTGCCATTAATCAGGACGTAGGGCGTTTACATTAGCACAGGGTATGTCGCATTTTATTGCATGCATTTGCTAGTGCGTAGGCTTTAAACTTCGACCAGGTTTGAGGTGGTTGGGAAGTATCAGGAAGTACCAGGAAGTATCGTTGGGCTTTGTTTTAGGGGTTGAACTGTCATCTATGTTTCTTTACTATCCGAGTTTTTAAAAACGTTTGATTACAGGATACTGAAGTGTTGATGCCTTGGTTTTATGCAGTTGTCAGTCAAGTTGACCAAGGAGATTGTGAATACGTACCGTGTTTGCAATCCAAGATTTCAGTTTTCGGAGAGCCACAACCCTAAGAGATTTTTAACCATTCCTTCCGCTGGAGTTTCTAATAATGGTTCAGACAACGAGAATCATGATCTTATTTTGTACTTTGGACGTGTCTTGGTTAACGAGGACAGAACGCACAGGTGAACATTTTTTCGCCGGGTAATATTTTTGGAATGTAAAATGGCCTGGTTAGGTTCTGATTGCATTTTCTTACTGTCTTCAAGTGTGGCGAGCAGTCACTACTCAAGAAAGAAGTGGAAAAAGCCTGTTAAATACATCCTAAAACATACTTTGATGAATAGTGGATTCTAATCTTCTTCTAATAGTATCTTCTAGTCTGCTTCTTGCTGCAAGCGTTTCATGTATGTAATAGGTTTCTGTTGCTTGCAGATATGTTGTGAAAGATATCGTTGGATGCGGTACTTTTGGGCAGGTCGCGAAGTGCCTTGTGCCGGAGACCAATGAATATGTGGCTGTGAAAATCATTAAAAACCAAAGTGCTTACTCGGCGCAAGCCAAAGTAGAAATTGGCATCCTTCATAGGGTAAAACACCACGCGTACCATATACCGTACCAAACAGTCTCTCTAGTCGTATGATTGATCAAGGGGAGTTTTTCCTTGGGATATTTCGAAGTCTGGCAGTGAGCTGTGTATGCATTTGTTCATTACAAGCTTAGCCATCATAGGTGTGGAATTCACTTTGTCTCCACAATTGCAGGAGCCTTGTATGTAACCAGGGAGAGTGTTTCCACGGGAGTTTCTGCAGTATGCCGATGATTTTGATTAACTGATGAGTGCTTATTGACATGGAGCTTGATAGCTTAGAAGGTTTGCTGTGCTCTGCAAAGTGTGCTTGCTTGTTCATACATATAGTTAGGATATACATCAAACTTGTGTATTTTAGCAGTATTTTTGTATGCTGATGAGTTTGACATTACTTGTAATTTTGTCAACGGTTGTGAATGTTCTATGTGCTGGCTCATGTTTGCGAATTCACCATCTATTATTTATAGAAAATAATCTGATTATGGGATTGTTCTTGTAGTTGAATAATATACGTGATTGGAGAAATGAGAATCATGTTGTGAGAAGCTTTGACCATTTCAGCTATGAAGGGCACCTCTGTATCGTCTTTGAGCTTCTTGGAGTTAACTTGTAAGTAAGCTTGCAAGCATTGAAGTATTTTGTTATCGTCTTCATATATTTTTAATGGCTGAGCAGCCATTCGGCCGTGAGCTTTGACTGGAAAATGAAAATACTAGCTGGTCATTCAGACCACAGAAGTGCAGGCAGTGTTGAATTGGGAAAATTTTAGAATGCTTTGGCGGATTGCAGGAGTATAAATGGTGACATGTTTGTATTAGCTGCTTCTTCTGCAGTTGCTTGCGTTATATTTACATTTGATAGGTTTCATGTTTGGCTATTTTTGGATAACATTAAATGCAATACTTATTCTAGGTTTGAGCTTCTGAAGACGAACAAATTCAAAGGGATCTCCTTACAACTGGTGCGGATCTTCACTGGTCAGGTACAAATTTCCCTCCATACTCTTTTGTGCTTGTATCGGTTGTTCGTCACAGCAAATCAGTATCATTTATTCATCACAACACTTTTTGGCTATTCGTCTCGTCGTTATCCTGTTTTCATTGACAGTGTTCAATTGTGACAATCGTAATCGTGTTACTTGATATTTGTTTACTTCTGGCGCTTCACATGCATATGTCTGGTGATTTGTCAGTCAAGCACAACTAATTTTCCAGTGCCTTTTTGCCAGTTGCTGGATGCATTGAGTTTATTGCATGATGCACGTGTAATACACTGCGACCTCAAGCCGGAGAACATTCTGCTGTCTAGGTATTTTTTTTACGATTAGCTTTTCTGTACATCTGAGATTGATTTCATTGAGTCTAATTTCTTTGGTTAGTAAGATGGCGCTGGATGATTGCTTGAGATATGAATGTATTGATCAGGTAGCTAACAGTAATGTCTTCCTGTTTATATGTTGTCTTGTGCTTTTGAACTAATGATTTTAGTGTAGTAGTTATCACGTTTTTGGGTTCTGCGGTAATTTCATGACCGAATTGTTATGTTTGTATAATTGCAGTTTGCGTGCTGCGGAGTTGAAACTTATTGACTTTGGATCGGCATGCATGGAGGAGCACACAGTTTACTCGTACATACAGGTAAGTGCACTTGCGAAGAGGTCCTTAGATTACAGCTACTTATGTGTAGAGGTACTCGATATCGTTTGAATTTGATTTTTCTTGGGGCATTTGACTTGGGTTTCTTACTTTTAATTGGCTTGTTTGTTGTATCAATCGAGTATGATATTTAACACAACTGTAACGTTTGCACATTGCAGAGCCGATTTTATCGATCACCAGAAGTTGTACTTGGTCATCCGTATACAACAGCTATTGATATGTGGTCATTGGGATGCGTCGCAGCTGAGCTATTCCTTGGTTTGCCATTATTTCCTGGGCAATGCCCTTACGACCTCCTCCTTTTCATCATTGAAAAACTAGGGTATGCCCTTTTACCACTGCACGCACTGTGATTGCTGCTACTTTCAATGACCTCTTTTAACCCTTAGTTGTGTGTGTGATACTCTGGGCACATCATATACAGATCCATGACTTGTTTTTAGAAGATGTACGATAGTGTATTTACTCGTGTCCTAATTGGTATCATCCGAAGAATCGCAGGGTTCAAATTAATATCTCTTCCCGGGATTTGCAGTAACCTAAATTTTTTTTAGGTTGATTTGCTGGTGTGTACATTTTTTTCCCTCGGTGTGTGCTTTCATTTGATGTGATATCACGATTGCGTCTTTTGGCTGTTGTGCAGAAAACAACCTTCTGATCATATTTTACAGAATGCAAAGAATACAAGCAAATACTTTAAGGTGATAAGTGCAGCTCCACAACCAGAAAATGGCCACATAAGTGGACATAAATCAGTTTATCAATTCCTTACCCCAGAAGAGAATGAAGCTGTGAGTTTTCTACTGCGCAAGCTGGGTTTCTTTTGGGCACTATTGGATTGTAGCTATGGAAAACCTGCTTATCTTTTCAAGACTTATATTATTCTGAAACTGTGTATTCCTCTTACTGAACGGATATATACTACTGTTGTAAGCAGGCCAAATAGTTGTGGGTGTGTTTGCATCCCAAGAAAAACAATGTTTTCTAGAAGGATTTTTTTCAGTAGATTTGCAGCATGAGATGGTCTGGTTTCACATGAGGTGCCCTTCATATAACCGCATTCAGCTGTATGAGTCGTTCGTTACACAAGAGATCAATATGTGTTTTGGGAAGCTGATCTTCTTAATTTGTGCAGAGAGAAAAAAAGAAACCTGTTATTGGAAGGCGTTACATGAGCGGGAGCCTTGAGGATATGATTATGACCTATCCAATGAAGTCATCTGGAAGAGAAGAACTGGAAAAAGGTGTTTAATTAATTAGACATATGCGAAACCTAGCTGTTGAATGTTCGTGATTGTTGTGCAATGCGATGCAATGTTTTGCATATGTCTGTCGTGTTTGTACATCGGGGTTACTTTTGTTGGAGTTCTTTGTGTTTGTTGTAACTCATCACACATGCTTTTGTCAGTCATGATGAAAGCCATTATCTGCATTTTAACATTTAGTGGTGTATTTTTGTAATGCAGAAAGATTCAGCCGAAAAGTGTTTATCGATTTCTTGAGGGGACTTATTGAAGTGGATCCTCACAAGAGATGGACACCTCATGAGGTATGAGTCCTCGCTTGAGTTCGAGATGATTATATTGCTTCCTTACTCACTAGGTTATTTGCAGCTTACTAAAAATCCTTATTTTTTAGATGGTTGTATCTTGAGAACAGCATCTGGCAGTAGAAGTATCTCGCTCTGACTCAAGCTCCTCTGTCTTAACAGGCTTCTCAACACCCTTTTCTTACTCAGGAACCCTTCACGGGTTCTTTCAGGCCACGAACAGAACGAATATCCCATGCAGTGAGTCACGTTTCATTTGTGTTTCTTGTGGTGTCGATGTCATATATAGCAACAGGAATGTATTACACTAATCGTCACACCAGTTACAGACGTGGCTATGAATTTTAGAGATTTCAAACCTAGTTTAATTAAATATAAAATTTCCTGTTTTTTCTCTAGGTTGCTTTTACAGAGTAAAATATTATTATTATTATTATTAGGGAGTTGCTAAAGCGACACCCCCATATTGTTAACGCGACACCCCGAGGTGGGCACGTGACTGTTGTGAACGTCGCCACAATAGCGCGCATATCGATGTTCACCCTTTCTCGCTCACTGTACAAAGACGACAATGTTCGGCTTGTATGAATATACACTTCTCCACTCCTCATTCCCCTACTATATACACGTGGGGTGTCGCGTTAACAATATGGGAGTGTTGCTTTAGCAACTCCCTTATTATTGTTATTATTGTTATTATTATTTTGTTTCCAAGAAGGAAAATGAGGATACTTACTTCCAGAGGGGAGGTTCATATCTTAATTTCTGCGAGGCAATAGCTAATTATTTGGTTCTTGACGTGTAGCCTTCTGGTCTGGGGCTGATGATAGAGCACCCCTCCTTGTTTGGGCAAGGTCTTTCCCCTCATGTGAGTTCTCAGTCCCCCTATTTATACAAAATCTTCAGTCTTTATGTGTTGAAGCATGAACTCCTACTAGTTGTGTGTTTTCACATTTGTTGATAATCGAAGTTCTATTTTCTCCTTGTATTTTCTTTGAGCACGCATGCATTTCTTAGCGGTTCAGGATACTCAGTACTTATTTTGTTTAAAGATATCCTACCAAAGAGAGGGATGTAAGCATTTGTCTTCTTAGGCTAAATGTGCCTCTTTTTGTAGGTCGGGATCATGAGTTCAACCGCCCAACTAATCGGAGGCCAGCAACTTCAGCCCGTATCCTTACCGGTTCCAGGTAGTCCAGCAAGTTCTGGAGACAACGGTACTTTAGGCAGCAGTTTAGGAAGTATCGGAGAGGGTACAGGCTCATCTATGAGTATGCCACCTCGTTTGAATGGACATACTTCTTTTGGTCCTTGGTCTCCTGATACCAGACGGCACCACATGCAACGCATGCAAAATGCTGGACACACTCAACTTGGAACCAGTCCTTCGGCAAGTGGAGTGTGTTCGTTTTCACTAGGAGCTAGCCCTTCGCATCAGTTTCATGTATCTGGTCCTCAGTTTATGGTCTCTCCTGCATCTCAGCAAATATCGTCTCCAGGTTCTCAATATATGGGTTCGTCAGGTATTACGAGTTACACAATGAACTTACGCTTTTCTTGTAGCCTTAAACCTTCGTGGAATTGAAGGATCCTAGGCTACTCGTGGTTTGTTGGTTGCAATTCGTATGAAATTAGGTGGAACTGTAGTGCCCAACGCATGTTATTTCTTGTAATGGTTTGAAATTTCGCAGTTCCGTAGTCTGTTTTGGCTTTTGTCTATCTTCCTCCTTCAGCTTCTGAGCGAAATTTCTGGAAAGGAATAGCCAAATTTTCTTTTGCCTCTATCTAGATGGTGCTAACAAGTACATCTGATTTATTTATTTCTTTTCTTTTTCTTTTGATGACTGACAGTTGTATTTCTGTAGGTATTTTGTACCAGGGATTTCCAGGGTCAACATTCCAGTCATCGCCAGGGTCAAGTGTTCCTTACGACAACGTTCTCTTGGCTAGGCTTCAGCAACATAATGCTGCCGGAAACACAGACGTTAGTAGCAGCAACTTTGGCCACGTGGAAGGCAGCCTTCAATTGAAAACATTAAGGGTTTGTGGGAACACGGGGATGGTTGTCCAGCACCAACTCAACAACACTTGCCCTCCGGGAGCACTTGGGCCTCAGTTCTTTCCGTCGGAGACTACTACTGAAGCTGGTGATGAGGAATGTGCAGGTTTCGGAGATTTTGACGGTGATTATCGGTGAGTATCAGTTAGTTGAAATTATGTCCTCTTTATTATTCTGCTGCTTTGCCCTTTAAAGTTGATGTACCTTCGTACAGCTTCTTGGAATTTCCGATACAAGTCATTTTCTTTGCTTGAGCTGTAATACGCATCTTACTTTGTTATTTCAATTTTGTGTGGCCTTTCAGGTGTTTTTCTTGAAATAAGCTTTTCACTAACGTGGTGTACTAAATATTTCTTATGCTTTGAAACGCCAGGGAAGAACTTCTTTTTGAACATGATCCTGTTCACGAATCAAGTGTGTTTCCTATGCCGTCAGAGATGGGACCTTCTGCTGGGGTGATGGGATGCGGTGGAGCACGGTTAGGGCCAGGTCCAGGTCCAGGATATGGACCTGGTGGCCCAGGCTCTAGATTCACAAAAGCTCCTCTGCAGGGTTCGTACGGAGGGTATGGTCGAGGTCAAACGTCAAAGCAAGGCTCAGCCTCGTCTAGTCGCCTTAGCCACAAACATCACAAACAACCACACGCGCATAACCAGCAACACACTCATCCTCATTCCCCACAGCATTCTTTGACTTCTGGATCCTATTCTGGTAACAGCTCTGGGCCTCCTAGCCGAAGATTCTCTTCTGGAGAGCCTACTAGCCACGTCTCACCAGCTGGGGTGCTTCATTTCCAGCAGAGACAACAGCAGCATCCACCTTTACATTTCCCTGACCATCAACATCTGTCTGGTTCACCTCTTCATCGTTCTGGAAACATAGCAGAGAAGGAGAAGAAAAGAGGGGATGGTCTCTTACCCTCGCCGCAGATGGGACCTAGAGGCTTCCATGCTGCGGGAGTTAATAATGAACAGTCTTTGGGAATGGGTGGCCACCCTGTAGCTTGGGGTAACCCTGATGGACATCATGCACTGCCTATGCTTGCTAGGTTGGGGCAGTTCCACGATCTTGGAGTGGGTACAACAACATTTCCTGCACAGCCGCCTGCATTTCTATCGAACCAAATTTATGCTACTGGGCAGTTCTTTGCTGGTGGGTTTGACGTTTGAAGTAATTGAAGTGATATCTGTTTGATTCCTCTAGCTCTCGACTTTTAAAACGGAATGCAGCATCTGTTATGTACCATGTTCTCACGAATCTGTTGTTTTGTGTCTACTGATCTTTCAGGTTGTCTGTGGACAGTTCAGAATGTCGATCACTGATAGATTAAGCGTCATGTTCACTTTGACAGGTCGCAGGCCTGGACCAGCTTTAGTGGGATTGAACAGACCACCGCCAACTGGCAGGGGAGTCTATCGGAAGTAACGTATTCACTCACCAAATCTTATTCGAATCAATATGTGAGCGACGTCTGCAATTGGACCTACCTAGTCAGTAGTCTATTCCGGATGTTGTATCATGTCGGATAAACCAGAGTGCTTTGATGATGGGAACATGGCCTTACTTCAGCACCTAAAGAACGTAGGAGTCTTTGTTAAAGTGAGTACTCGAACATATTTTTCAATGAACGTGGAAGTATGGGCCTCTACCTCTTTGCTAGGCCAGATCGGTGGTTAATGTGGAGGAGTTCTCCACTCTCATTTCAGGTCAGCCAGTTAAATATGTTCATGCTCATAATTGTCTCGTTTCTCTTGATGATCGGAATTGTTTAGTGACTAAGCCCGAAGATAGAATTGGGATCATACTTTTTGCATAACATTGCTGCAAATCCCAGGTGCATGTTTTGGTATAGTATTATCTACAGAAGAACCTGAAGTGGAGATCTATGATTTCTGGATGCCAATAATGTATCATGTCAATTTATTTATACACAAATTAGGATACTAAATGGCTCTTACAGTGCTTTTCATCTCAGTGCTCTTTGTGTTCCGGACCACTCGGTTCTGACATGTCATGCCAAAATGAGTGGGTTTGGCGTCGCTGGTGGTTTGGCAGCAGCTGTTTGTCACAGACGTTTTTGCTGCCTTGCGCAGATTTCTGAGACCTTAAGACTTACTGACTGCATTATGGAAGTAAGTATGCAGTTCATTTTGTTGTGCAAAATTTTATCTCAACTATATTAAATGTTGTTAATCTATTAGCTGTTAATCATTACTAGGCCACTGCAGTTGTGTTTAGTATTTAGTTTGTTAATTAGTCGTCTTCTTTTTATTTTTCACTGACTTTTGCAGGTTGGAGTTGAACCTCCAGGTCTATTTTTATGAAGCTAGCTTGGTTGCCAAAATGCTTGTTTCCTGGTGTTCAAATCGTAAGTAATACACAAGTGTGCCGCTGCCAAATTTAACTAATTGTAGTCATTTGTAGAACTGTTCCTACTGCCTTTTGCAGCACTTTTTCTCTTTCTTGTAGGTTGCCTGCTTAACGAGAGATGTTGTGGACTTCGACAGGACCATAGGTATTGATTCAAAATATTGAGTTTTAAAAATTGCTACAGTCGAGCCTGTCAGGTATAAATAATACCTGATCAAATTTTCACTTTCATCACTTTTCCAATTGGATATTGAAACAGGGACATCATTTCACTGGTGTTTGTGTGGATAGCATCTATTTCTATTGACATATCGACTTTTTCTTTTTCTTTTTCTTTTTGTTATGCTTTAGGTCGCCTTGTTTTGTCTCTAGCTCTGATGTAGTTTCTGCTTTTTTACCAGGACTCTGCTGTCCCATTACCATTGTGGTGGTGGGAACTGGGCGTGAAAATTTCTGCTTTTCTTTTTAGGTGTTTAGAGTGATCTCTTAGGGAGCATTGTGTTTGTGATAAGGGACAAAGTTTTGAAGCTGGTTTCAATAATTGAAAGGTGATTTCGAGATTACTCTTCCATTTGGCATATTTGTTCCAACTTCAAGATGTAAGCTTTATCCTATGAATGATACTAGCGTGACGTGTATCCGTTGTATTGTCATTGTGCTAGTACGACAGTCTTGTCACTCTGTTATAACCCAGTTAGTACCATTCTTTACAAATACTGATCTTGCTGCACGTTATTCTTTTACTGCTAGTCACACCAATGAACCCAAATGCAGGGTGTAAATTGAACTTAAGTTGTTTCTACCCGTAAATTTTCAAACATCACAGTTTTTTGCAAGTACATGCTGAGATGTAACACTTCAGAAGCTAGTGCCGAGTATTTGCCTTCCAGAGATTCAGGCACTGTTGTGGCTTAGGCTGATTCATGGCACCTTAGTAAATGTCAGAAAAGCTCACATCAGCGCTTTGGATCTGCGGTATCGTTACTCCCTTGGAGTAAAAGCGGTTATGGCGACATTGGAGAATGACACCTAGTAAATGCATAGACATTGATCTAGTATGTCACGCAAACATTACATCCTAATCTTAGGAGAATCTTCGAATGCTCTTAATATTCTTTTTGTTTCCACGAATTGATAAAATAAATAAATCATTTTTTGAAGAGGTTCATCATGTTTTCATTGAATTTGTTCCTAAGATGAGTTCACCATCCGCATTTGATGTGAAACATTTGTGCACAGGAATGTAGAAATTAAGTAGATTAAAGTTTGAGATAACCAAAATTTAATATAATAAAAAAATCCTACATTCCACACACTAATGACTTATGAAGAATCAGATTGCATGTTCGGCAATTGGATAACTCGATTAGAAACAACATTGAAGGAAAAGTGACTACTGAAACTTTTAGACGCTTCCTTGATCAGTATCCTTCTGGATACCAGAGGCCTTCATAAGGTGATCTTGGGTTTGTTTCACAATCCATTGCCGCCTTTCGGCAAAAACAAGTGGGGCAAGTGAATGTTGGACGCGGATGCTCGGCGGTTATCCCGCAGTGTTGTCGTTTCATGCGTTTTAAACTGCACGAGGTTAAACGTCCAGAGTACATTTTAAATTTGATAGTGTGGATCGGGGAACAACACAAGCATGACACGAAGCGAATTTTACCTGCAGATGCTTCCTCAGTACCTCAGTGATGGCGTCAGCTTTTGTCCTTTCGTATTTGAATTTTCGTTACGTATTAGTCCAAGTGTGTTAAGAACCGTGATTCGTTGACAGTTTCCTAAACCTCTGAGTACAATTTCAGCCTGGCGGTATCTTCTCTGATAAAAACCTTAATCTAATCGTGCTATGGGCAGGCCGTGCTCCCGTACAGCTACTGCAATTAATGTGACACCCATCAACGATACAGATAATTAATTTTGTATTCGCTGAAACAGTCGAAACGTAAGCGAGTCAGCATGACGTGCAAAAAAACAGGTGGTTAACTTTGCAAAGGAGTGAAAAAAATACGAGCGCAAACTAGAAGCCAAGCAGTTGCTGGAAGTTCAAAAAATTTCTGAGACAGTTCTCAGGTCCTCATCAAAAAGTACATAGACAAAGACCTTGATGGAACAACTCACCGCTTCTTATCCATTTAGATAGACATCGACGCCTTTTTGCTTATGAGATAGCTGCCTGAAACTGGAGTGCTGAATTGCTGAATGCTCATTGGATTCGATGATGACATAAGTTACAGTAGCACCTGCTCCAAAATTACTTGACCACTTCGCCTTATTTCTTGTTGACCACATGCCGAAGAGGAAGGAAACCAAGGTTACCCACTTGTTGGAGTTCACAGCCTCCTGCGAATTGGCTTTGGCAGTTTTCGAGAAACTGCGGTTCCTACCGGGATCACTACTCTTATGGTTGTTAGAAAGCAGTTTTCCTACCTTCATGTTGACTGTTCCTACACTGACATCAGAGAAATTGATTGTCGATTGCTACACGGCATCTTTCTCGTTCCGTATCTGAGCGAATGAGTGCCTGATGAATTCAAATCCTGCTTTCGGTTGGCTCGAGGCCATTCTGTACAGCAGTAAAACCCTGTGCTCACTAAAGGTCTGAAGGTTGTCTAAAGTGGGCTCGAGCAGTATGATGATTATCCTTTCGTCACACAACGAGCACGACAGGAAAAATGAATGCAATGAACACACGAAACTTAGTACTACAAAGTTCCTCACAATTACCTCAAATCGATGCCAAAAGCTTGGGGGCATATAACCAGTTCCTGTTTTAGTATATCATTAGAGCTCTAGATCTTTCTGTAAAGATTCTGACAGAATGCAAAGCTTGTGAATCAGATCACCCACACCGGAATTGAGAGCTCACAAAACAAAATAACTCACATGAGCCTTGTGAAGGTCGTGCAGGTCCAACACCAAATAGAAGAGAATTCTACTTTCAATAAAGAAAATTGCCACCCACAAATTAACAACGTGGCATCCAGACTACCAACCCATGATTACAAAAACGCCTGCAAAACATATCCCTTCAGACATGAAGGCAGGGGGTTAACTGAAGGGGCCATTCGTTGAATTGTACCTCTTTTTCTCAATTTGAAAGAAGAAACACAACTGAGTTAACAAACCAAGGTGATGAAACTATCAGATCGTCTCTTTGCCAAATATGCGTTGATGCGAAGAGATGAGAATATGACTGGTATTGACAATGTAGGTCCGGAAGAACCAAAAGAGAGAGAAACTCGACATTCAAATGGTCCCAGTGATCACTTCCTTTCATCTCCAACCCATACGGACCTAACCTTCCGGCAGAGAAGGGCTCCTCTACAACATCTACAAAATTAAAAAAATAAGAAAAAAAGTAAAAAATAATTAAAAAAAAGAAAGACATACGGTATCTTTTCCGATGCATCACAACACCGGACCTTGCAGTAATGCTGAGATAACACCAGGCCGCCCTTCATACTTTCTCACAAAGGGGTGTGATAGTAACATCTCAGCTGAAGGCCGGCGAGCAGCTTCTTTCTGCAAGCACAAGATGATGAAGCTGCGGAATTCGGGAGAAGCATCTGGTGGCGGGGCAGGAGGTTCTCCCAAGCATATGGCATACATCAAGGTAGGCCAATCTGGCTTCTCCCCAGGTTGTAAGCAAGGGAAGCGTCCAATGGCACACTCCAGAAGCGTCAAGCCGAGGCTCCAGATATCGGCTGCGTATCCATACTCTCCGCCATTGCCATCCGGATCGAATCGCTCGGGGCTCATATACGCGCAAGTTCCAACGAACGAATTGCACTGCGCGAGTGTGTTCGCCAACACGGTGCTCACGCCGAAGTCGGCAATCTTCACCTCTTGCTTACGATTGAGCAACAAATTGGAAGGTTTAATATCCCGATGGACAATTTTGTGCTTGTGGAGATAGAGCAATCCCAAGAGCACCTGCTTCGTCACTTCCGCCAAGTAGCGCTCACCGATTTTCTTGTGGTGTTTCAGCACATCCGCCAAGGTGCCTCCATCCATGTGCTCCAGAACGAAGGAAATTTCGCCCCCTCGGTCGAACACACCATAACATTCCACTAGATGCGGCGACTTGGAAATTTGCAGAATTTCCATCTCCCGCATGATCTGGTTTCTCACCGCCAGCTCGTGCTTCTCTTGGATGATCTTTAACGCGTACTCCTTCCCCGTCCATCGATGCCGCACCTTATACACCTTCCCCCCACTCCCCGCCCCTAGCAAATTCATTTTCTCCAGATCACTCAATTCCACACCCCTCCCCTGTGCATACCCACTCCCCAATCCCCTACTAGAGTTGCTGTACCTACTATCCAATGAAGGCGGAGGGAGCGGCAATGGCTGCGGAACAGGAGGAGGTCTCGGCGATTGACGACTCGGCAAATTCAACGACAATCCCAAACCCCTGCTTCCCCTCCTATCATTTGCTGCAGCCATCTGTTAGTTTTTCTAAACTCTCCACCCTCGATTCAAGCCAACACAATTCCTCCTCCTCCACCTCCTCTACGACCTCCACTCGACACCCTCCCGCTCCTCACACTCTTCTCCTCCCACCACCAAATCCCTCCCCGTCTCTCCCTCAACGCAATTACATCTCCATCCCGCCACATCAAACCACATTCTCAATTCGACAACCCCCACTCAATTTCTCTCTCTCTCTCTCTCTTTCTCCCCCACTTATCAATCCAACTCCTCCCCTCTAAAAACCTATTGCAACACTGACAAACTCACCTCCTCAAGTTCTTAAATCGTCTCAAAAACTCCCCACTCCCGTCCCCTCATTAAAACACCTTCAAGCACTCCCAAACTACGCCCCGCCCTCAATCCAGATGCAAACTCACAAACCTCGAAAACCTTGCAAGACAAGCTCCCCCGGCAACCATGCAGCTCCAACTTCGTACACCCAAACCGACGAAAACCCACGAGGGGAAAAGAAAAAGAAATTGGCCCCCAGGTCCAATTATCCCAGGTTCCTTATACTCCCTCCCCCCCCCCCCCCCAATCGCACGCGTTAATCAAGAGCCCGTCAATAATCCTCCCTTTGAAGACGAGCTTCGCGACGAAGAAGGCCTCGGAGAGGGTTCACCTCATCTGACTCCATTGTTACCTCGGAAGGATGTCCCCACTCGGCACATACATGTGGGGCCCGATCGACGACCTCGGCAAGACGGTAGATGATGAATAATCTACGTGTCTGCGGGATCCAGAGCTAAGCCAGGCGACGTATTTGGACCGAGACAGAGACTGACTGACTCCACGAACCGCGTTCGCTGTTACCACAAAGTGACAATTACAATGCTCGAATGGGCAAAAAAATTAAAATTAAAAATTGGGTCTACATGGGGTTCCCCGCGAAGACAAATCTCTCCCGACGCCAGTCTTGTAGAGAATTTGGATGCGAAGCCGGAATTGTGAAACAATGCTCACTCACTCACTCACTCTCACCACCACCAGTAGCGGAATCTACTGCAGCCGCGGCGGCGACGACGACGACGAGCCGGGTGGTGTCTCACCTACGCGGTACTTCGTATTTTGTATTATGTTAATAGTACGTATTCTATGTGCGGTATATACCCTATATGGTGTAGCATCTATATATACGGTGGGGATCGCCGTACCTTACTTGTCTTCGTCGCGTTCACACTTGCGTCGCCAATTCACCTATTCTTTTTCCTGTGTGTGTTTTTTTTCGTGATATGGGTTTTGAGGCTGGTTTCCACAAGATATTTATTATATTTTTGAGAAAATTTAATTTTTTTATTTTTGATGCAGAAATTTTGGTCTTAAATGCGTTGTGTGTATGTTTGTTTCAGTGTGGATTAGGGGTGTGATGAAATGCAAAGGTGACTCCTGATGCGTTACACTAATTCATTATTCTTTCTATCTTCTTAGCTTGAGTTGGTGGGTGTGAGAGTTCTTTATTATGCATCACATCTTCAGTTGAACAAATGGTAGAAGAAAGAAAGATCAGAAAAAAGTATTTGTACATCTCTTGGCATTATTTTCAGTCTAGAAAATCATTCTCAGCTTTGAGTTGCGAAATGCTGCTTATTTTAGAGGTGGATAGTGCAAGACTTGTTAATAAATTAATGTGATCTAGGAGACTGATGACGAATTATTTTAATAAAAAACTAAAGTCACTGGAGAATTACTAGTAGTCTTGTCAAACTACTGACACCATGAACTGATCTTTCAAAAACACAACATAAAGTTATGTGAAAATAGGTTCAAGAAGCAGAGACAAAGTTTGACTATCTGCTTCAGTATCCTTGCATTAAGAATAATTTCAAGGTGGGAGTATAAAATAACAACATCCCATCAGAGTTTTTCCTTTGGGAAACAACCCTCAACAACAAAAAAAAAAAAAAAAAAAAAAGTGTTTGAAAGGCACAACTGAAACGATGATAAAGAAAAAACGGAGGTTTTTATGTAAGGAAACCCACTACTGTTGTTACGAGTACAAATTTTCTAGGACATTTTAAGGTAGTAGTAGAAAACAATGCTTTTTTAGGAATGAAGCGTCATTCTTTTCTGTATATATAGAAATATTCCATTCACCATACCGACGTACACGTCCGCTTGCAACCGTATCTGCAAACCAAATTCGCATGGTGTGTGCATTCGGAAGAAAGCTTTTTCTGTGATGCAACGGAACCCATTCATGACAATGGTTACCTCGGTGCTTGAAAACAAACCCATGCACAGATTCCTGTTCAACTCGAAACCAAATAACTCGACAATTCTGTCTCGAAGGAGCTTAATCACTCCATCATATTTCGCCTGGCTCAGTAGAGAATCCCACATCGCCGTCTTCAGTACGAAAACTGCACAACACCGTGCACATTTTCTTTCTTCCTTCGTTATGTGATCTGCACAGGAGCTACTAACTACCCTTGCTGGGTACCGATCGGTATTACGTGCGTTAACAAATCGAGTCGAGATTACTTCGCTGTTGTGCTCTTCTTCTTCTTCCCTTCAAATCGTCGACAACTCTTCTGTGTAGAATTTCTCTTTGTTGAGGATCCCTATTTGGCATAATGCGTCGTTTCGATGCCCAAACTACGTGCGGTACCATCGTACAAGCAAGCTCCAGTTGTTGCACACATCACTCTTTACAAAAGTCCTGGTTTCGCAATCGGGGCGACAACATCCTGCGCAAATCGGTCCTCTTGTCTGGAAATAAGTTGTAGCCACCAACCATGGCTTTGTATTTGCTTCAACTCTCCCTGATTGATGATGGGTACCTGATGTTGTTGAGGACCCGATTGCATTATTTTATTATTTTATTATTTTTTCTCTTTCTCTGAATTGCCGTGTTTAATCCCCCTCAAGATTTTCATTTATTTATTTTATTTACTTATTTTTGCCTCATTAAAATTGGCGTCGATATTTGGAATCGGATTACAGCATTTGAAGCCTACGCTCTGGGAGCGACACACGAGGTTGCTTGAATTCTTCCGCTTGTATGAGTTTAAGTGGATGTAGGAAGACGTGATTTTTTCTACTAATAGTGTCAGCGAAGATTGTGACATTTGGTACCAAAAAATATTTCATATCGTTAGGGCTACATCATAATTATGTTAATGTTTTATTAAGGGTGGAAAATTATTAAGTTTGTGCACATTAAAAAAATTACAAATAACAAAAGTTTTGAATTGAAGTTGTAACAAAAATAAATGGAAATGGTTGCAAGTGTAATTCTTCACCTGTATGGTGTCTTAAAAATACTAGAACTCAATTTGTTCTCAATGTTAGGGGTGGAGTAGTTTTCATGTGTGGAATAGCTGGGCTTGAAATGATCGATAAACTTTAGAAAATAACATGATCTTTTCGCTCAATCACATGGTGAAATAGGCCATTAGTGGATTTTTGTTAACAAGATGAACATACGTTTCATTTTTCTTTTTGGTCATACAACAGAACAATACGTTGCACAAAAGAAGCCTAGTACAATTATGGAAGATTAAATTATACGGTTTCAAGCAGCAGTGGTGCTGCGTAAGACCTATCATTTAATGCTCATGCAGCTCTGAATACAGAACCTTTTAATGTATTTCCAACTATACCATGTTCATGTCCAACTCAATCTAGAAGCATGTAAAAAAGAAACATAAAAAATCAACATTTGAGTTTCTAGCAATCAAAATGGACACTGAATACAAAAGATTGCAGTGTGAGGAAAAGACAATCTGATTCTGTATTAAAAAAAGAAAAGAAAATAAAATCATTTCAGCTGTCGTGGTGTATATGATATCTGCGGTTTCGACATCATTCTCGTGAGATAAAAATAACTGTTCTGACTAAAAACTGCTTTGTAGTTTCTGGCAGGGGATTAGGTGGCCCAGATGCCACATCAATGTATAATACAAAATCTCCAGCAGATGTCGAAGTTCAATCCAAGAGTTCAGTTAGACTCTTCCCTATTCAATGCAGTAATTGTTATATCTAGTTTCTCCAGCTCCTCGCCTTCCTCGAGATCCCTTTCATACCGCTCATCTTCCTCCAACGCACACAACGTCACTCCTCTCTCATCTAGATCTTCTGAGCTTAAGTTGCTGGTATCTGATTCTGGTGTTGTTCTCATTCGCCACTTCAGCTTGGCCATACCCATGCTTGCTGGTTGGACCTATCATAGGTGGAACACTCGCAATCAGAACCCAATTTCCATGTTCAACTCTAATCTGTGCTCGTATTATAACAATGTTATGAAGCATTAAAAGCATAATGTACACCTCTAGTTTACAACTTACAGTGAACATTGTTCCAAGCACAGCATAATGTTGCAGTGGCAACGTGTTGCGTAGTATGGGCTATGTCACATAAGATTATGTGGCATCTGCTCCAATGCGAAGAGACTAGATAACAACGTTAATAAATTCGGATGTAGGTACTCACCGAGGGCGACGCAGACGGAGTGGGTTCAGTATCAGAGGGTTTAACAGTGACAATGAGACCTTCAGTCTCCGAGTCCAACTCTTGATCAGCAGCCCCGGGCTGTGGCTCCTGCTCAAGAATCATTCCAGAAGGCGATGCAACAGCGACAGCCGATGAGGACGTTGGACCGTCCTCCCCAGAAAGAGCGCTACCGTTTAGGACTCCTGTCGCTGAAACTTTGACATCGGTGGCAGGTTTCTTGTTGGCGAAAAGCAATGGCAACTTCTCATCTGAGTTTCTCTCCTGCAATGACGGATAAGTCAAACCTGTGAGAGCAAAGCCTGCGACAAGCTTGTTCTTCCACAACAACCGATGAGCGCGTTTCGAGATTAAAACAAAAAATCATATGCCAGGTTGGAACACTATACAGAACAGCCCATCTGAAATGAGATGGGCATGAAACAATCAAAAGCCATGAGGTTCAGTCAGTGGTGCTTAACCTCGTCGTCTAACAAATACGAATCTGTACTAGGAGCAGCACCGCCTGATCTCACCCAGTAGGCTTGCTCATTAATGAGTTCCTTATCCTTCGTCACCGAATCATCCTTCAGGTTTCTGTTCTTCCAAGTTTGCCGGACCTTGGTCTGCAAGCACGGAATGTGCTTTAGTACTATGTTCATTTCACATTTTAAACGTTCAAGGTTTCAAGTGATGGTTATACAACTGCAAATCCATCAAAAAGTCAGACCCCAACGTCAGTTAGTGTACACTCGGCTTTCTATGATCAGTTCATTCTACAAATTTCGCAAGCGTGATGGAGAGAACTATGGGGAATTAACCTGGAAAGGAACCAGCCAGTCCGTTTCTTTGTGCTCCTTCTTCTCTACTGTCTCTTGCGCACGAAGCTCCATAGATTCACGCATCATGCGGCGTAAGAATCTTACATCATCAGACATAACTCCCAACCCACGTAGCAGCACTGACCCCAGTTGCAAGCTTGTCTGAACAACAACAACCACATGATTTACTGAACACCTGAGAATTTTGATGCATATAGCAATCATGAAGGTGATTCACATCATAATTAGTTTGAAATTTTATAGTTAGAGAAGAAAAATTTAGACAAACCGAACTAGAAGCCAGAAAATAGACCAAGCTGCTGAGGAGAGGTGATTTTTGAAAGAGAGAAAAAAAAACCTTTATACACATCAAGATCGCCATACATCTGTATTACTTGAATTCCAGAATCATACCTCAGCATTTTCGAGTATACAGTCAGTTATTCCAGCATGTTTCAATTCCAACAGATGCTGTAAATCCTGTGCTCTTGCATAGATGGGCACCTACAGCAAATGGGCACCAAGTTAAATATCTTCAGTAATATACAGAGTTCTTAAAGTTCTGAACTATGAACAGCATATTAGGGTTAAATTTGAACCAAGAGACCTCATACTTGGGGAAAAGCTTGACGAAGACGCTCCACTGATTGCACTGACTTTTGTCGCCCTGTATACATGACCATGACTGCCTTCGGCTGTGCAATGCCTGCTGTTTGTAGCACTGCAGGCCGAGAGCCATCTCCGTACAAAACTGGGAAGCCCAGCTTACAAGCTGCCTGCACAACAAGAAGAAACCAAACGTCTAACTGTGACCTTTACTCAACCAACCGTCCTTGTCCGAAAAGAAACGCTGGCTTTCATACTATATTTTATGATAGCGTACGACATCAAATTCTTGTCTAAAAAGGACATAACCCATAATTTCAACCGTACCCTTGCGCAATCTACATATCTAAAGAGGGACGATAGAGAATCAAATGATACCTTGACTCGACCAGGATCCAGGTCAAATGCAACATACGGCCAACCAGCAGCATCTCCACCGAGACCAGTCGCCAGAGGAGTGGAGAGAAAGTTGGCGAGTACCTAGAAAGGCACGCAATAATGTTACTATACAATTTTAATACAAAGTTTACGAAGAAGGATGACTCGTTACGTAATTTTGTCATCTAGTTTAAATGAACTTGGTATGGATGGGTAAACGTTCCTTAGAGGTTACTTTAACATTCGATAGATGAATCGTAAGGAAAGCAGAACACCTACCTGACCCATCTGACCAAATCCAATTATGACCACGGGTTCTTTGGCCTGAAAATTCTTCACGCCCTGCAATTCCTGCATTCAACGGGATATGCGTGATTACAAAAAGAGACCTCACAACTAGTGCTCTTCAATAGAGATAACACCAATAAACTCTATGCATGGGCGTTGGGTGCAGTCTTGTGCAGGAACAAGAATAGTACATTATCTGGAGCTTCAGAGGGTAATCTTCCAAAACAATCTGAACAAGCAAAAAATGCATTACAATCGAGCTCCTTACTACAGGAAGGGATGATTTGTTTACGCACTGACTCTGTTGGAGAAGAATCCTCAAACTCTCTCTCAATGTATTCTGCTAACTTCCGACCCACTTCATTAAGAAGCGGTGTCAAAGCCATTGATAGAACCACGACAATGATCAATAGCCTGTTCAGTTCCAACGGCAAAACCCCGAGTCTGTAGAATCCAACGAAATTTAGTCACTAAATGGGGTGAGTATAGATATGTAGCCGAACTGATAACCATGCTCCGTAATGCCACGCCCAAATACTTCACACATCTTCACAAAAACACCATGTTCGCCTTTCACCGAACAGACCAATCAACTGGTCCTGCCCAGAACATAATGTGAAGTCTACATTACAAAAGTATTGAAAGATTATCTTTACCGATTGGCGAGAGAAAATACGACGAACGCAAACTCCCCGCCTTGTGAAAGTAGCAATCCCGTACGGACACTCTCGGACAAGGTTAGCCCTACTCGGGGCCCAATTGCAGTAATGATAGCAGTCTTGATAGCAATAAGCCCTCCGAGAAGAGCCAATACATTTGGCCATTCTCGTACCAATAACTTCACACCACAATGACTTATTGATTACATGATATCGCGGCTCTGGTATGATGACCTAAATCATCAAAGCTATTTCATACGATCCTAAAATAGTCACACTGCATTTTTCCTAATATGATGCCGTGGTGGATAAACAAACGCATCACTCAATCAAATTCTACTGTTGGGTGGTATATAATGCGGGTAAGATTTGCTAACCTGAATGTCGATTGATGTTCCGGTGGTGACGAAGAAAAGCCCCAGCAGAAGCCCACGGAATGGTCTTATGTCCGCTTCCACTTGGGTACGGTAGTTAGTCTCAGCAAGTAATGCCCCAGCTAGAAAAGCCCCAAGCTGCACACGGCATCCACGCATGAACCTCTCAAAAACTTTGTAAGTACTAGTTCATTTGATAATCATTCGCATGTTATACGTACTTAGTATCATCGCCAGGCAACTAGTAACAAGGATATATACAAAATATGCTAGGCCACATAGCTATAAAACAATATATAGATATATATACATACACACACACACGCAGAAATTGGAATCATTTAAATAAAAGAGCATGGCCACTTGGCTAGTGAAAGATGAAAGGCAAACACTCGGCATAAATCCACACAAAGAAGTACAAACCGTGTCACTAAATCCAAGCTTTTGTGTAAGAAGAGAGGTTCCCGTAACCGTCAGCAAGCACATTGCTACGAACGCCTCTGCACTCCTCGAATTCGCCACAATCTGTAGTAGTTTCCATTTCAGGTTAATACTAACATAAACTAACTGGGTGTGGTCAGACCATTGTGCATTCAACAGATTACACATGCACAGAGTGAATTACTCCATTGTACACCACAACCAATCAACTTGCAACCTTCATTGAAACTTTGACTGCAATTTAGTTCAAAGATATGAGGAGGTCGGGTAAAAAGACACTGAAACAAGAAAGAAATTAGAAAAGCACGGAGAAGTACTTCAAAAAGTCGGCGAAGGAAAATACGACCACCAAGGGATATGAGGCCAAGTCCAAGCAAAGCCTTCAAACTCTCCGATGCCAAAACAGGCCAAAGATTGGAATCCGCAATGTTCTGCAATACAACCACACTATTCCTTTAGCTAAGTAGACAAGTCAGACCACTATGAATCAATGATACTTCAATTCTGTTATTGCCAAACTACACTTGGAAGGTCTAAGGTCTAAGGTCTGACTTTAACCACCCCAACATGATTCTTGATGACATAGTTTCTTGATAGGAACGGACAACAAAGAAAGTGCCTGCAGGGTGAGATTTTCCATACCCCGGTCTCCAAGATAGGTAGGATCACCAACAACGGTACAACAGCTATATCCTGCCAACAATACCTCAACAAGTCAGAACCGACTATTATGTGCAACAGGATAAAGACATGACTACCAGTAATTACGTAGTAATTTGCATCTCGTCAACGAACTTTTGAATCATATTTTCACCTGTAGGAGCAGAATACCCAGAGTAGCAGAACCAAATCGTGTCGGCAGCTCCCCCTTCTCCGCTAAAAGCTGCGTACATGAAAGGCCTCACATTAATCTACTCTTCCATTTAAAGAAGTGTCTATTTCGTGACCAAATTTATGCCAATATTCACGTTGTGCGGAGATCGGGAGGTCGAACCATCTAGAAAAGAGCTTCGTTCATTTTTCAGTACCGAAGCGAGGTGCACGATCTAATGGAAAGGAGTAGCAAACCTGCAGCACAAAAGCTGACGACGACAGCGAAAGAGCAGCACCAATCACCACCGCTTCATCCACCGTTCTAATATTCACCTGCAAATATGGTAGAGAACATCTCAATCACATGACAGGCGTCAACGGAAAAGCATGAGTGTGAGCAACGTCAGTTTTACATGTTGAAGAGCATTAGAAAAAGCCTCAAGCAGATATCAAGTGAAAATTCTGCATGTCTTTAAGTTAGGTCATACAACGTTGGATTTCTGCTAAGATGTTCTTACAAGATCAGGCCTAGCGTGAAAGAGAAACTCCAGAATTTGAGTGCCGATAGCCTTATTCGGAGGGAGTTCGAAAGCCGTAAATGCCAATGTGGATAGCACAACCTGCAGACAAATCACAAGCAGGCAAAGGACACACTCTTCATACAGCTCCGGGACGGGAGAGGTACACCCAATGATTTTAAAACAGTAGTAGAATCCCAGTTAACAGGGGAGCATACCTGGGCAAGACCTATGCCGAAAGCAAACTTCGCCAGAGCTTTAAGACGTGCTAAAGAAAGTTCCAGTCCCATCTCAAACAGCTGCAAGAGTCGTTTTAAGTGTCACAACCCAACGCGATAAATGATAGACTCAGAAGCAGATTCAGATCACGAACACTCACACAAACCGATCAAGTGATAGATAAGAATGTTACTTACAAGAAACAGGATCCCAAGCTCAGCCAAAGCCTTGACATCTGTAACGCTTCGAATCAATTCCAGTTGGTTCAATACAACGCCCGCTAATAGGAACCCCAGGATCTGGCGAAGAAGTCACGTGTCTAACTAGTTATTCCGGCATCACAAAAAAGGGTAAAAAAGCACGATTAATTTGAGCATGTGTCTCTTGCCCTGAAAAATGAGCAAACCAAAAGGCATGATGGTGAAGATCACGTACAGGACTTTGTTTAATAGCTTTGAACGCTGGAACAATCAACACAGTGGCCCCAAGAAATGTAAGGGTGTCCAACCCAAGGTTGTTGATTACGTCTAAACCTGAGGCTAATTCCGTTACTTGGGCTTTAACAACAAGCTTCTTACGTGACGGTGATCTAGTGGGATGGCTCTGTAGCCACACTAACTTGGCCAAATTTCCACCGCCTAAGCTTGCAGAGCTGCGAAGCAATTGGTTCCTAATTTTTCGACTTTGAAGTTTCAAGCTGAGTGCTGGAATGGTCAAAGTGTGCTGAATAATCGCATTAGTTCCACCTGATCGACGAAGAGGAGAACGGGATGCATTTGTTCGTAAAGCAGTAACGCGTAATAGGTAACATGAATCCAGAACCTGAAAACACCACATTTCAAACACAAACCTTGAAATTAGTCACATAAAACGGAAATCGACTGTACAGAAGTCCAGGTCACAAATATGCCTAAGCATGGCTTCAAATACAGCTACTTGTTAGATTCTGCCGGATTCAAGCAATTCTGGTCACAATTTAAGCTTTCCTACCTACTGGTTCATCGATCATGCATTATTCCAAGAACAATAAGATAAAATCGATAAATAAATCGCTACCCCTGAGCATAAGAGCGTGGGTGGTCATTTCCATCAATCTTATCACTTCCTCAATATAGTTCTGAAAGTAAAAACATGTGAATTGGCTTGTTTCCGAGATCTTACCCGTGAAAAGTCAGGGTGAACTCTGCCACAACTTACAGAGCGGTAATCCATATGGGGAACGCCTGCAGTGAGGGTCGCACATACAGCCATGGCTCTCCTTTGTGTAGCTACATTAAAATTATCTTAGAAGAGTTCAAATTCCGTAAGCTATGACTCCAGCGTTGATGAACTGTTCTATAAAATCTAAGCTACTCACCTACGAAAAAACTCACGAGGGTTTAACAACAGTAATGTCCTCCCAGCAGCTCCTCTTTAGCTTGATCGACGCAGTGCAATCTCAGGATGCATTATCACTCTCAAAATCGCATCCAAGCAATATAGCTGTTAAGTGATTCTCCTGCCAGGGCGAATAAACCCTTTACCATAAACCCTTTCTGTTGTCGAAATGCTGATGATATTGCACACTGATGTGCTCAACGTGCTTCACACCCTCTGCGCCCTCTCAATCCCTATATGGCTCTCAACTAAAGGTAGATTAGAGAATCATTAACGACTTGGCACCTGCATAAATACAATGTGCACAAGCATAAGAGAAAACTCAGTAGAAATACCAATCGAAGGAACAATTTATGTGAGCCACGGAAGCTGCATTCTCACACACCAGTGCCAAATTCAGGGCAATACCTAGATCGCAATTACATCCACAAAATCGCCCCAGCTGCCTACACAGGAACTTCATCTTTTGCAACGAATTCGGAGGCAGAATTCACGTGCACTCTCAGATAACACGAGGAGAGTTGACAAAAACACACCATACCTACGACTACCGTTGCGACCCACTGTCAAATCAAGCGCTGGGATCGCAAGAGCAAGAAACACTGCGAAACCAACAAAAATCGTTACTAAAACACTTACTAAATTAACCCCGAAGAAGCAATTCAAAACTGCTCACCCAAAATTGATATGAAGCCGATTGGTCCTAATGTAGTAGTCTATAACAGATTTTCCCCCAAAACCAATCGTAGTTGATCGTAATCAAAGACCATCCAGCTCAAAAACGTCAACCATCCCGCATACGAATCACTCTTTCACTCTGCCCGCTCTAAGTCTCAAACTCCCCGATCCGCCGCAACAACCATCAATCAATCCAAACACGCCCGACCCAATACCTGATCCGCAACCAGTCAGCCAATCAGCCAATGGAAGACAGAATTCCTCCAATTCACACGCAACCCATCACTCACGATTCACGATTTCCGTGGACTGAAACGTCCCTGATTACAAAAGAATTCCGGTAACCGAAAACCCGCCGGGTTGGGGCTGGGGCTGCAGGCGAGGCGCAGTCAGTAAATCGACCACAGGAAATCGAATCCGAAGCCCACAATTCGGACCCGAAAGGAGGTTCTACAACGCGATGTGTAGAATCGACTTTCCTTTCTTTTCCGCACCCGCGAGGAGAGTGGAGAGTGGCAGTGGATAAGGCAAAGCGGGGGCGATGCCTGGGCATACGCGGCGGGTTCGCATTCCGTGGAAGCCTTGGAGCACCATGAGCCACAACAACAACAACAACGTCCCCCCCCCCCATTTATTTTAGTTCACTTTAATAATTATTGTTTTTATATATCAAAATGTCTGTATGATGTATATATTAGTTAAAATTATAAAATTTTAGGTCAATAAAAAAAATTATATATACATATATATATATATAGATGTTCATTCTATGTAAATGTTAAGTTACAACCATGCTTTGCACAACTTCTATATACTGTAGTTTAATACATGTAGAAGGTAAAAATTCAACAATTACTAAAAATTTGAAAATTTGAACGGTTTAAAAATTATCATCGTAAAAACTTAAAACTTTAATGATACAAATAAAATTATAAAAAAATTGAAGGATTTTAAATTAAGATGTATAATAATAAAATGTTGAATATTATACAAATAGAACTATTAATCTAAATACAATACTGGAGTTAGAATTCCAAAAACTTGGATTATTCGTGTGATTTATGTTTACTTTGTTTATTTAAGAAATAAAAACATCTTATCTTATATTAAATAAAAAATTAGAATAAGTTAAGTACTTCAACCACTTTTTTTATATATATAAAAATTACCATAGTTATAGATTTTAAGGTGAGAAAGTATACAATTGAATATTATATATAAAAATAATTAAATTAGATAGAAAGAGATTTGGAACTTAGAGAGTCAATGTTCAAGAATTTATAGTGCATGTTAGTTGTAATTTTATTTTTCAAAAAAACAAAAAACAAAAAAAATAAAAAATATAAGTACCAAAATTAGTAATTTTCTTTGAATATAAATAAAAAAGTTACATAAATTATTTTTGAATCTATATTATTATGTTGCAATTAGTATCACAAGCATTGAAGAGGTTTTAAATAAGGAGAATGAGTGGATAGAAAATTCTTTGAAAAATTAGGCATAAATGGTAAAGTACCAATAAGAGGTGTCAAAGTAAGAAAATGCATAAGTGAAATTTCAAAAAAGAATTAAGAAGCTATTGAAAAAACATAAATCGGAACTATTAGAGGATACAACTTGGTATTGAGATATGATAAAGATGGAGCAAAATTTTTGGAAATTGACTATACAAGACATCAAAGGTGGATTTAATAGTTATAGATTCTACTTAAAGTTACTTCTAAATCTTCTTAGTTATAGTAAAAAACAATTATTTTATAGATAGAAAAAAAGGTAATGAAAGAAAATTTATATTGTTATTAAAAATAACCATCTCAATTTTAAAAGTAAGCATTAGAAGCATTTAATATATTAGAAAAAATGTTCTTAAGAAAGCCAAGTAGATTAATAGTTAAAACTTCATTAAAGAATTATTAATGCCATATTTGTTCTTCAATTAAAGTTTAGATAATTTCTTTCTATAGTTAATGATATTTCCTTTGTTATCTTAAAATTTATTAGTAATAAAATAGTTTTTTACTAAAATTAGGAGAAGACATCTTAAAAGTCTCTATACTTAAGTATAAGGTAAGAAGCTACAACTTTTAAATCCTTGAATTGGTTGAAATTGAAAAGCCTCACTTTGTTAGCTTCTTATTTAGAAAAATTCGTCCAAATGCCCAAAGAAAAAAAAATAAGATTGAATACATTAGTTTATTTTATTTTATTTTTTTCTATATACTATCAAAAATATTATTTTAAAATTTTTATTGAGCTTATCTTAAGAGATGAATTTTAGAAAAAAATTGAGAAGTTATATCTAAATTTACTAGAAATACTCTTTAAAAATATTTTAGTATGAGATTTTCAATGCTTTTCAAAAAAAAATAGAATGAAGATACAAGCTTATATGTTTAAACTTGTGGCAAAATATTGATTTGATCCATTTTATGGTCTCTACTTACTTTGTATTCTCTCCACTAGTAGAGGAATTTTAAAGTGAACTTTTAGTTGTATAGACTCCCTAAAGAAAGCAAATTTGAATACAACCTATCATTTTTTGGCTTATTCTTTATGCCTTCAGTTAATATTCTTGAGAATTTATGCTCCATCTTCATCCTTTCTTACTAAGAAGGTGTATTTTTTTTAGTGGTTTCTATTTGGGGGCTCTTCTATTGTCTATTCTATTCTTTGCCAAACTTTCATTCTTCTATTCTTTATTTTGATGTTTCCTAGTGGATGGACTAGAGAAAATTGTGAGCAAGATTTTAATTTACAATTGAACCATTGGTGCACTTGGCAATTCTTTGAAGATTTTCTCCAATACATTAGCTTCATATGACACCCAATGTAAAAACCACACAAGGACATAATCTGCTGAAAAAAGAGTAAACATAATTTACAAAAAATATTGAACCCAAGTTCCAAAGATACTCAAGGCTAACTCTACTCTTGACTCCAAAATTAATATTCAATGAAACCAATTCCATTTAAAAACCAATTATATTTTCAGTAAGGGCATCACACACCTACTCAAACATAGTTTCATACTTGTTTGTTTATTTACAGATTGTTGGTTTTGTTCAAAAGTGTCCAAAATAGCATCTTCAGGTGCCCACAATTCCTTGGACAATAGCATTGACCCTTCAACACTCATCCAACGCAAGATGAACCTGACGAATTGTGACACAAAGTGTCCTGATTTCAAACAAGCTCTGAAGAAAATTAAGGGAGCAAACCTTACACATGTACAGAAAATTGGTCCAGAAGCATAAGATGACGCGACTTTAATGTTGTTACAAACCCACGGCGCAAAGTCGGTTACAGTATCTACAAAGACAAAGACAAAAGAGAGAGGAGAGGATGCGAGAGATTTTACGAGTCCGGCCAATTCTTATACCAGCCTGAGCATGCGGACGCAAGCCCACTGATGCCCAACGTCACGGGGTGGCAAACAAAAGGATTGGGATCGACATCCGCCAGAGCGATGATCAGATCGGAGACGTTGGCGATGATCGACATCACTGACATGATTCGTTGCAATCGCACCGCAGCGATCTTCGATCGGATGCGCTTCACTTGCGTTGCAACGCTGTTGTCGCCTTTCAGATCCACGCCCATCACCTGCAGCTCCTCGAGCTCCGTGATCTGCGACTTGTAGCGTGCCTCGGCTAATAGACCCCGCCGGATCACGATCAGGTCAGCGATGATGAAGAAGATGTAGCCGAAGCCCTCCCCGAACGCGGAGATGTAGCTCATGCGGCGCGCGAGCTCCGGGTCGAGCACCCCGACGCGGGAGAGCCACAGGAAGTGGTCGAAAAACCAGTAGACCATCTCGCCACCATAACCGAAGATGGAGAGGACCTGGAGCTTGTGGTCCGGGAAGGTGGTGGTGCGGAGTGCGTTGAATCCTGTCAGGAATCGGCCTGTTCGGAACGCCTTTCGGCTCAGGCCTGCTGCTACTTCGAGCTTCTTGCAGCGATCGGCGAGTTGTGGGTTTCTGCGTTCTAGGTTGTAGTGGCCGAGCTTCCCGACGTACTGGAAGGTCTTGACGAGCTTGTCAATTCCGTCTCGTTTTGCCAAAAATATGACCAGTTTGTCGAGGGTGTCCTTCTTCCTATCCATGCTTGAGCAAGGATGAGTCCTCAGGCTATCCTCCCAATTGTACTGTCCACTAGGAGCACCGCCCGATCCGTCTCAAATGATTTTAGAGAATGTTGACACCCAACACAAATTTCTTGGGATCTGCACGGATTTGCAGTCGCTCCCACTGCAGCGTGTGACAGTAGATAATGAGCTATCATCCTGTAAGCTTGACGCCTGCCTAGAGTCTCAAAAAACATTTATGCTACTAAATCGCGAGCATTGTCGAGACCGTGGAACCTTATCCTACAGGATCCGCATTTTTGTAGAATTTTGGACTAACTAGGCTCCCGAGAACGTTACAGACAATGCACATTTGGTTCGTGAAGCAATGCTGATCAGGGACAACGAATACACGAAGTTAAGCAATTGTTCACGAGAGAGCAAGGAAGAAAAAAAAGTCGCTTACCCGTGGAACTTCGATGGTGACTGCAAATCCAACATTGACAAACTTTCTACTCGCACCTCAAGAGCATGATGAAGTTCATATCACATCAACAGGGGATATACTCCACAATCCAGCTCGGAGAACCTGAATACTTCAAAACTCTCACAAGTGCACTAAAAATTCTGGGCTCAGTGTTGCAAAAACTTGGTTGCTGACCAGAAAATTTGTATCGCGAACGAGTTGCGTTAACGTCGTTTCTATCCAAACGAAGATATGTGATTTTAGGTTGCTGTCATTTCCAGATAGTGAGAAGTGGTTTGCGGAAAGAAATGGTGTTATCCGTAAAGTGCTGACTGCAGGCTTCCTGGCCCTTCGTCTGTGTACATGCACACAGTGTATCGTTCAGGCTTGGCCCCACAGATGCCTTTCTGCGACCAGCGCATAGGCACCACAAACGTGGTTCATCGAAAAATGGAAATCCCAGCAGCCACCATTCAACTGAAACTGTTTGTGCGAATCCCTGTAGCATTCCACGTAAGCCACAAAAAAAAAAAAAAAAAAAAAAAAAAAAAAAACTGAACATTTTCTAACTTTTCTTTCCTTCGTTAGACACCTTGCCTACTACCGTGTCATTAACAGGCATGATAGTTGCGAGATAGATGGTAAGATTGATGCTTTTACTGTTGCCAATGTGGAGTTCTTTTTGAGTAGAAAACAATTGGGTGTGTCGAACTGCGAAGCTTTCAACGTTCCTATCTACAACAGGCAAGAGGTCACCAAATTCATCGACAAATTGAGGACATTAAAATGGGTTGATACCCACCGTTCGTCTCCTATCAAAGAATGTACATCATCTAGACGATAAATCAAAGAGGTCTTTCTGATCATTTTGCAGAGGCGAAATCACGAGCGTCGTCACCGACTTTGCCAATGAGCGAATATCCAGAATAGGCTCCTCATAATTCAGGACAGGGAGCGCGGCATGGTTCTCAGTTCGGGAAGTTCGGAACGGTGCAACATGAATTGGGGAGTCTTTCAGGCGGGGAGCCAGCACTGAGAGGTCGTATTCCACGTCCTTGTTCGTGTCGGAAGTATTGGTAAATACCACAATAACAGTGGTACCCAGAGGATCAACCGCAGTTACAAGAAAGTCCCGGAGACCCTCATTTCGGTAAACTTTGAACCCCTGGCGAATCCATCTACTGAAATGCATCATTACAAAGAACTGCTTCTTGAGATCGACGGAGATAGGGGAGGCGCCATACACAAGGGGCGTCTGCAGGAGGCCCCAGAGAGAGCCAGGCCCTTCTAGAGCTTGCCAGTAGCACCATGCCGAGGGGTGGAGGTCGTTGATGTCCAGGGTTATGTGCTTGGCCACTCCCAACGCAACCTCGTGTTCGTCGCCGTTCCAATTGAGTGGCCCGTACTCCGACATCCACAGCTTCTTGCCTTTCGCTGCGATGTTTCTGTTTGTCTGAGGAAACAATGCAAATGTCAGCGAATCACAAAAGTTCGCAACTTTGCAGCGGCAGAAATCGCAGAGTAAAACTCACCTCTCTGCGCTTGGCGTCATCTTCTCGGTTGACGAAAAAAATGTAGGTATGGACATTAAGCTGGTCAATGGCTTCCATAGATTCTTCACTGATTCCTCGCATGGCTCTGATCGTGTTGAATGTCCACGCGTCGAACGCACTCAAACGAGTCGGTAAGTTCTTTTTAACCAAGTACTTCTTAACTATGGGGATTACCTGCGGTTCGATTACAATTTGGGTTACTCTCGATTGCTCAGCATGATGAGCAAATCTGATCATCGAGGCATGTGCAAGCATTGGTAGGCACCATTAAACTGAGAACAAGTACCTTGTCCATTGACTTGGTTGAGAAATTGCAGCCTTCCTGCTGAGGTTTGTTCCGGTCAATATACCACCACCCTTCACATGGCTCGTTAAATGGTGCCAAGGTATCAAACTGTATCCCCCACTCCTTGTACTTGAGCACAACTTCCGTCAGATAATCAGCAAACGCTTCGTAATATTTTGGGTTGAGATTGTCCTGACCATTCTTCCAATTTCCTGTCAGAAGTACATTACCCATTTGCCGAGAAATAATCAGGGTCCACGTACACAAGCAATAACAAAGGTCATTCCACTGATTGAGCGTATTCGTTGACGGTGGCCATGTGTGTACGGATTTGAATGTTCTTACCTGTAACGGAGCCACTAAAAGTCATCCAAGGCGGTGGAGAATTGTTGAAAGCTTCAAATATATTTGCACCCTTGTCACGGGCTGCAAACAAGACCGCTCTCTGCCTCTTATCAGCCGTCCAGTCGTAGGGCTCATTCGGACCAGCCTTGAATCCAGGCACGTCTCCAAATGGTCGAAGATTTGTATCGATCGTGAGGTCTGCGCCACCGCCGATGTTGTACCGCACAATGTTCATTCCAAGCCCCTTACGAGGATCGAAAAGCAAGTCCACTACGTAGTCGAAGTCTTCTTTCGGTAAACCACCTACAAAATTACCCCACCTGCACACATCTGTGTTACTCAACCTGTGAATCCTTTCAACCTGTCAAACTATTATACACATCTTAGATGGGGCGTCATAATATTTGGAAGATGATTATGCATTGTCTTTATTTACAAACACAACACAGTCCTTTGATATAGCTGGTGCGCTGAAAATAAGCTTAAAAACTGTTCTCCTACCAGCAAAGTGAAGTGCCCCAGCCATCCCAAATGACATAAATATCTTGGAAATCTTTCGGGATTTGAACGAACTCCTCCTGTTTTCCGCCCATCCATGTCAAATCCACATAAACATTAACCAATGCACATTCTAGTAGACGATCAAATTTCCGTCATGACACACCCATCACGCTTGTTGATGTAAAACAAAAAAAAAAAAAGGATTGCCGAAATTGGCGCATTCACTGGAACGTTTCAGCAATCACATTGTGGCAAAAATCTAGGGAGATTCACAAACTAAGTGATCCGACCCTGGAATTGAAAGAAAGTGAAATAGTACCTTTTGAGGAATGTTTGGCCACGCCCCAATCCATGCAAAAAAGTTTTGTATCTGACCAAGCAATCCCTTCTTCTCAACTTTAATTACTTTCTTCTCCTCAGCCTCCTTTGTGGCTTTCTCGTCTGAAGAACCAACGTCCGGCTCCTGACCTGTCTCAAGTGGCACAGGTTCTCGAGGTGGTTTAAGAGCAAAAACTTTGGTGGCATTCCTCCGGCATCGAAGTTGAGTATCCTCAACGTTCTTCGACAATATTGTTCGCTGTAAATATTGGTTTCCACCTACGTGAGAGGAGCATGAAACTATTCGATTAGCGTAACTCGTCTCTCCAGTTGCTGTGAGAATGTTCTGAAATCTGCAAACCTTGCCATTACACCCTAACCCGCTATGGTCCACCCACATTGCACTGTCGCCTTGCCTCGTAGAAGCTATAGGAAGGTGACAAGCTGCCATAGGGTGAATGTCTGCAAATAATGCTGCAGGCGCACCAGATTGCAATCACTGAATAGCCAATGTTATCTGCATTTAAAGAACACAAGAACCGCAAAAGCTTAGACACAGCATTCAAGCATTTCGCCATACCGCTCATTACCTTCTTCTTGATCACAAACAATCTCAAAAACCTCTGGGGATAAAGCACTAATGACCCGCATCACAGAACTAGCTGCATCACGCAAAGAAGTGATTTTTCCCCACTGGACAATTACGTGCAACTAAGTCTATCAGTTAAAGCTTAGCCCTTGATAATGCAAAACAGAGGAATGTAAAATTCGAATGTGTTGTGCGTGCAGCATTAGAATAAAGCCGCTACAGACGAGAGGAAATTCCCTTCTCTGGGCATTTATCCGCATTGACAACTTCAAATAACTACACTCAGCTCCTTCGTAGTATTTGCCGCGTTCTGATCGCTACATAACAGATGCAAAGGTACATCCTAACCAGAATTCAAAGAACAAAAAACCTACAAAACCATCTGTAAGATTCGCTTCCACGAATACCCACTCAAAGACAGATATCTTGCTAACAACAAGTTCTATACAATTCTCTCCCCCACAAAATAATGAAAGTGAAACCAACAACACGACGTCGCCAATAACATGAACACATAAAAATAAATAAATAAATAATCAGCGCAACACTCAAATTACATTCCGACGAACATTCTTCAATCTAAATCAAAACCTCAAAAAATTCAAAAACTTCAATCTCTGTACAACCACACAAAAACCACGAACCTGACGTGCATCAACGACGCAACACAATTTTTTCCATGAACTCACACAGGGACAAGAATCTCCAAACTAATCCTGGACGACAGAGTGACAGTGCAAAAGTCTAGTGCAGCTCACCGAAAGGAATCGCACCGGCGTCCTGGAGAAGAATCCCAATTTCGAATCTTCAGCAATGTCGCATCCTTCTCTCAAAATCATTCGAGCGAGGCAATCTGGAGCTCAAATTTGAGCGAGGGCGGGGGAGGGAGCGGGATGATCCACAGCACAATGTCGAACCAAGCAATTGGGGGGGGGGGGGGGGGGGGATGAAGGGGCAGTATTCCTGGGCGACGCGTGGTGCATCGCCCTGCCCGAGGCAGCCCGCCTTTTTCCTGTATTTTCGACTTTTTGGATAAAGTATTGGAACCCATGGTGGTGCCAAGTGGCTTGTGCGCCATTATTTTAATATGGAAAAAGTGGGTTTTCCCAAACGCAAGACTCCACTCTCTCTCGTCTTGGTTTGTGTATCAATGAATCTAAATATTTGTCTTTATTTCAATGGTAGATTCTACAAAAAAAAATTGCTTAAAATGGAGTATATCCCAATGTTTTGATTTGTTGAAGTAAATTATAGAACATGGTAACTTATATCTTTTATGACACCTTTGTGGAGGCATATATCAGAGCAACAAAAATAAAACCTTATATACAACTCTAAAAAAACCAGTTGTCCATGTATATTCTCATGAATTATCACACTACATTGAGATGCTCTTAATTTTATTTTAGCTTTTTAAATTGTATCTTATTCCAATCATATTTCTTTTCATCAAAGATTTTTCCTATTTCTTTAAGAATGTATATATATATATATATATATATATATATATATATATTTCTTTAAAATTTATATAGGAATAAATATTTATTGATTGATTGATCCAAAGAGAAAGAAATTGTATATTCTTTATTTAATTTTTTGAGTATTATTATTAAAGTTAATCTAATTCAAGACATTGTAATAATTTACAATTATCAATTTTTTTAAAAAATTTTGACCTTGTATAAACAGATCTAATTATATTAAAATTTAAAAAGCACCAATAGTTATGTTTGCATTTTCTTCTATCAATTAAAAATTGGTCAATATTTTAAGTGTGTGGAGATAATCCAAAAAAGAGTTTATTTGGATTGTTGAATGATACTTATCCTTAACTAAAACTACGTATCTATACAAGTCTTACAATATTCCTATATTACTATAATTAATAGATTTGTATAAATTTATTTTTAAAACCAAATTATTTTTTTAAATGATATTTTTAATGTATCCATGTTGTTTTCATTTCTTTTGATGATGATAGATAAGCCATTTGCATATTGGCACATGATATGTTGGTCAAACTTCAAAGAATGTCAATGCTAAGTAGTTTTTTTAAATCTAAAATACCTTCTTAGATAACAATATTGAGAATCCTACCAACTATAATAAATAGATAAGGAGCTAAAAGAAAACCTTATCTTAAATGTCTATCAACTAAATTTTTTTTGTAAGAGAATTGTTAACACCATCTATAAAAATTACACCCTAAGAGATAATCCTCATGTCATAGTAGAATTTGGCATAGAATAACATTCTAACATAGTCTTTAATATTGATGTTTGAAAAGATTTAATTTCAATTTTATTTAGTCTATAAGCTTTCTACTTACTAGTTCTTCATTGGATTCTTCCAATTCATTGAAACAAACAAATTCAATCAATCTATCATTTATTGAAGCATTTCACTTCCAAAGAAAAATAAAAAAAATTAGAATTTGAAGCTTGAGTTGTTCCTAAGTTATTTTTTTTTTAATACAAGCTTACATATTAATCATAGTATATAACATTTAGATTATAAAGATTACTTGGTTTTACATCTTTTTTATTTTAAAACTTTAGAATTAGTAATTTCAAATATCTAAATTTAATTATGTAGATTTTTTTTTAATGCCTCTATCTCCACAAATTCTCAATTTAATAAAAACTTGAATTTTTCAACCCTCTTGATTATGGTCTTTGAAGTTATTTAATAAATATTCATTACTATTTTTTTGGAATATAAAAATGATTTGATGTAAGAAATATTTTTTTCTTGCAAAAGATTTTATGAAAGTACATAATGCTTATATCTTAATAACAAAATTTTTTCTTCTAATTGCCATAATTCAAAATTTCTAATTGTAATAAAACACCTATGGATTATTGGAATAATATTGTATTGTTGCTAATTTTTTTTATATTTATTGTAGTGAAATTGCTTACTTTATAGTATATTATGCAATGTGCATTGTGTAAAAAATAATATTGGTTTGAATTGAATAACATTATATAATTTTTTATAAAAAGTTATGAAAATTGATCTATTTTTATTTATTTAATAATATTATATTTATAATCTTCACAAATTTTTTAAAAATTAACAGTTGCAAATTATTCAAAGCTAAAAACATACAAACAGATAAGTTTATGGGTATAAACATTATTAAATTAAAATTTGAATATGTTTTTATCTATTTGAGTTTTATGACAAATAATTATAAATGACTGATTTCAAACTACTATTATTTTAAAAAATCATTATTTGTTTTAATTTGCATAAAACATAAAAATTAACTCAGTTTTTTTAATGTTGTTTACAAATTTTATATATGGCAACATGACAAATGAGATTTTAATCTTTAGTACATAGAAAACTTTCATATCACTTAGTATAATTTAATATAGCACATGGTACATAATATTTGAATGTGTAATTTGATTATGTTAACAATAAACTTCGGACAAACATTTGAATACAGTATTTCATTTATATTTATCTGTATTTGAAATATGCTCCAATTAATCACTGAAAAACCAATGACTGAAAACCACATTACAACAAACTACCAATCATAGAATGATTTGTAAATATCTGCATATAATAAGTACATTGACTGCTGAACAAAACATAATAATGAACGAAAGCAACTCAAAACAATCTAACAATCTAACTTTTTAAACGCAAGCCTTGTTGATGTATTCGGATATCGGCAAGACCCTGCAGGATCATTTCACTCCGCTCAATTAGAGTCACAAGTTGCTAATCACGAATCTAGGACTTGACTTCAAGCGACCATTGAGGAAGCAAAACTACTTTTTATGGAGCTCAAGACTACATCATAATACCCAGCTGGCTAGTTTTCGAAGTTCAACAATGGCCAATTGATGAGTCTAAATTGTAACATGTTTGAGGAACTAGGAAATGGAACTTGGAAATCTCAAAAGATAGTTCAAGACAAATTGTAAAATATAGCATTTATAGGAACACAATAGCAAGATGTCATCACGTCTTAGTGTAAGTTCTTAAGTGGCTTCATGACAACCATTACGTTGCTAAGTACATTGTTTTGTTGAATCATCATCCCTGACTACTACCCCTTGCTTCCAAAGTTAGATATTACCAGTCCTCAAACCCATCTTCATCGATCTCTTCTCTGTCGGATATCATTGTCTGGAAAAGATCAACCTACACGAGAAGAAAGCAAACAAAACTGTTGGCCTGTGGTTTATAACATGGCAACTACACGTATATACTGTTATCATTGATAAGAGAGTAATTGTAATCCATTACTTCCAATTTGCTTCACCACAAAACTTAATACCTATGAAAGTCCACTGAAAGAAATGCTAACAGACCGACTGTTCTCGTACGTAGCAGGAGATCACAAAAATAAGAAAAGTTGATCAAACCCTTAACTCTTCTGCACAATCTTTAAAGGAATCGTGATACCACTTTCATCAACTTCTTTTGAAGAACGTGCACCTCAGCCCGACAATGTAAAGGACCGCAAAACTTGCCTGTTGATCGGAGAGTTTCAGCTGCTTGGCAACAAAAAACACTTCTCCATAGCCCTCTTCAGTTTTGACGGCCAGAGGCCTACTCTTCGACCACGCACTACATGAAATTTCATTGTGCGGCATCAAACTCACATGAAAACCATTGCTTCCGAACACTCTGTATAACGCTGCAACGATTTCGTCCTGAACAAACCCACAAACACACTATTTCAGTCACCTACACACGAGATGCACAGGCAGCATTCTTCTCAACTGTATCGACGAGTCCGTCATATGATCCTTGAGGGATGCTTGATATACCTGTGAGATATCGCCAAGTGCAGTACGCGGCAGCTCTCCCAGAAAGATTGAATCCTTCGCAGCTAAGCTGCCGATGCATCTGAGAATGACATACAGGCCCTCTGCTGTCAATGTTTGCAGCCCCTGCATGCATCGTATTGGCCTCAGTCTTTGCTCACCACGTGAACTCCACACAAGGAAGTGAAAAACCACATTGCAACGAGGCACGCCATCTCTACAAATGGAGAAGCTCAATATGCACATCGAAACGCATGAGATCGCTCTAAGATTGAATGCTGACCTGCATTGCCCAGACGCTGGGCCGAATGCCTTGATAACCGACGCTCACAAGCTTCCTCTCCAACGACTCGTCTTTCCAATCTCCATCGTCAGAAAGGTCCACCGATACATGCCTAAACATACACCCTCTCCGTATTCTCGCCCCAACAGCTGCCAGACCATCGCAATGATCATCGTGAGACACGCTGCTGAGATCGTGAACTCACCTTCCGTTTTGTCGTTCGGGAAAATTAGGGTTCTACAACCAAAAGCTTGCAAGGATCTGGCCTCAGCACGGCCACCTCAGTATCTAGAAACATAATGGTGACGCATCAAGATCATGTCATTCAATTTGTTTATTGACTCGACATTGTCAAAACTTGTAGGGTTTACCTCATGGATAGCATGGACCTCTACCTTCCAATCTCTCAACGGCAATGTTGAATGTAGTGTTCGGCGATACATCGAAGATCATTGATGCAGGAGGCCAGGGTAATCGGTATGGTCTTGTGTCCATCCCGTCGGTTAGCAAGACAATCTGTGAATGCATTCCCCGGAGAATGGAAGATGTAAGCACGTACGTGTAGATTAGCATGGATTTGACGCTTTCCGAGCATCAATCTCTGGAAAAGCTCTCAATATCTCTACCTCAGACCAAATGAGATAGTTCGATGGGCACAATACCGCATAGCAATTGAGTGTCTAGAAAAGTTGACAACGAAATTCACCTGCCGCACTGGCGTGGCTTGGTCGTCCTTAACAGCCTCCAGCAGCCTCTCATCAATGAAGCTTGTTGCCAATTCATAATAGCCTACGTCATTTCCATTAACCCCGGCCGCAGGTACGACGTTGAGTGCTTGCCCCTTCGTGGCTGCAAGGCAGACTGCATAGGGATCGTGAAACAGTGGTTCTGCGATTCAATTTCCAGTTGTTAAAATTTGAACTCAAAATTTGGCAATGAGTTGCAATTGAAACGAGAAATGAGTACAAGAAAGCTTCGAAAGGAATTGAAAGAGTAGCTGAACCCTCGCGGGAGCTCTCGACGGCACGCAGAGCCGCGCGCTCTTCAGCGGCTGTGAGAATTTGCAAAGTCGTCTGCTCCGCCGCAGCGCATCGTAACACGCCGACGAGGCGTCGTTTGTGAGCGATGGCATTGATGCGTTGCGAATTACGAGATCTAGCTAAGCAGTGCAGCGAGAGGTGAGATTTGGTGAGGAGGCAAGCGCTCGCCATAGCTGCTGCTACTCGTTAAAAATGGAAAAGGTTCCGTTTTCTTGACACCGAACTCGTTTTCCCAATTCTTCTCCTAATTTCTCGTGAACAATAGTTTCCAGTGTCACGCACCTTATCGAAGAGTCTATCACTTCCGAGCTTATTTTTAATATTATCTTGTGATTTTCCGAACTAATGTGTTTTTTAATGATTAAAATTTGTTACAAAAACCTAAAATATAAACTATAAAACAAATGAAAAAACATAGTTTAATTAAATTGAATTTACAATTTCATTCATTTGTGTGTGTATATATATATATATATATATATATATATATATAATGATTTAAAAAAATATAATTCAAATATAATATTTGAAAATATAGAATAGCCATCGGAAACACACAGAGAACGCACTGCAAAGCTAAAAGTAGAACAAAACTGCTTTGTGCTGAGGCACTTACCTTTGATGGATTCTTCAGCTCCCAATAGCGCATCCTGGTATAGCCATGAGTATCTATCTACTGAAGAAGACATCACAAACTCTTTCACAAAGTCAAAGCGACGCAGAAGGTACAGAACAGAGGATATGTCAAGTGAGAAAAAAGATATGTATCACGAAATGCTCCCCTCCATAGAATGAGACTACCTTTTATAAGAACATATTTTCATGATGTTCTTGTGAACACAACCTCGAGCTGCACCAATATTCTTCAGAACCATTCAAATTTTAATGTTTCAAAGAACACCAAGAATCCCTCCGCATTTGCGGTGGGCGACACAGCAGAGGTTTCATCCACCGCTCGGATGAGGGCCGGCCACCAATCAGTGTAGATTCCATCCATGGCGTGGCCGGATCTCGAGCAGCGACAGTCTCGGCTTCTGCAAGGCTTGTGCCGCTCACCCTCACCAGAAGTCGCAGAAACTACTTTTGTGGGTTATTTGCTGATGCTCGAGCCGAGCACTATCGTTTGTGGGTTGTCGTCGCGTGGAAATGTTTGTAGTCTAGGCTCGGCTAGAACAATTCGTGGCTCTTTCATTTCCTGCTGCTCTTGTATTAAGGTGTGCTTGTATTCGTGGATGTGAGGCAATTGGTGGGGTTTGTGAGGCGATACGCTGGAAGTTAGAGCTCTTGTGACGCATGAGCGTCAGTTTCTAGGTCAGTACTTGTGGTTATCTGTTGCGAATAGCACTGAACATGATAGATCGACGGCTGTGATGCTACCTGGGAGCCAACAGCAGTGGAGGTGGCGATAACATCATTCTTTGTTTGGAGATATTATGTTGCAAATTGCAAGTGGAATATGCTATATGTATAACATGAAGGTAGCACATCATGACCTAAAGCCTGATAATATTATTGCAAATTCAATGGATATCCTAGAGGTGGTTGATTTAGAATTTTTACATGTGAAGTTGCTTGATTTTAGTATTTCAAAGGTTGAAGTGAAAAACACTCAAGTATATACAAGAAGAAGCACTTTGAGAACAGTTGGATACATAGTACCCGAGGCTATAAAGAAATAAGGAAAATCCTTGCAAGAGGTGGATGCTTTAAAAGCTCATGTATTTACTTTTGGCATGTTGTGTAGTGAGATTATTTTGGGGTCACAACCTTTTGGTGATATATACTATTATAGTACTTATCAAGAAACTATTGAGAAAAGTAAAAGGCTCAATTTGCCAAAATCTTGTCCAAAAGAATTAAAATTGTTGATAGAAAATTGTTGGTTGTTGGATCCATTAAAGAGTCCTACATTCTTTGAGATTTATGCAAGGTTGAAAATGTTAAAAAAATATTTCTTTAAGGTCCTAGAGAAAGTAGAGACCTCAAAGATAAAGAATATATACCATAGATTGACATTGTTTTAAAGTCAAGATATTGGTGGATAAGTCTCAAAGAAAATTTATGCAATATTATACAACAATTACTTTTCTTGATTTGGCAATCTTTTCCAATCATTATTCAATGATTGTAGTTTGTATCTCAAATTAGAAAAATTAATCCTACCATACAAATGATAATTGACCAAATACAAATTGATTTATCAAATCAAATTATTAATAAGATATGTAGTTTTTTTTGTATTATAATATAATTGTAACAAATGCCATAATGTAGTAGAATATGTGAGTTAGATCTAGATAAGTATATAAAGACATTTACATTCATATAAATTATATTGACACTCAAATTTGAAAGCTTTTGAATTGGTGTAGGTCAATGAAGAAACTACCAAAAACTTGAAGTTAATTAGTGTAGATAAGAAATTAATTGATTTTGAAAAAAAACTACAAATTGTTGGTAGTTAGGAGATAATTGGAATGGATGGGATTGGCAAGTCAACATTGGCGAATGCTCTACATAGCCATATCTTCCTCAAGTTTGAAGCAACATACTTTATAAATGATTTAAAAGATGGACAATGTAGGCTTATGTTAAAGAATAAGTTAGAAGACTTGCACAAGCAACCTCAAGTATATTCTTTGCAAGAAGGACATGACATCTTAAAACATGTTCGAAAAATAAAGAAGGTTCTTATTAACTTGCATGATGTAAGAAGTAACAATCAATTAGATAAGCTTTTAGATATTTATAAGTTTAAAGATGATAATGGCAGTAAATTGATTACAACTAGTCGAACTTGGAGCTCTTTAGAACCACATATACTAGAATATCGTAAAATAGACATGCAAATCTTTAATAAAGCCAAATCTATGGAACTTTTTTTTACATGCATGGCTTTGCAATTAAAGAGCCTTGTTTATTATATTTAAAAGATATAGCCATTAAGATTGTTAATGCTTATGGTGGACTTCCATTGAGTTTGGAAGTCATGGATATTTATTTGGATAAAAACCAACAACTACGAATATAGGAGCAAACTTTGTATAGATTATTATTAGCAAGATATGATGGAAGTCGAGATGAAAAAATTTGGAATACATTACAAATCAGCTTTGAGGATCTTGAACTTGATGAAAAGAATATGTTTTTAGATGTCTCTTGTTTTTTTTTTTTTTGTAATGATTCTTATCATGGATGGATATTTGAAGAAGAACTATTATGCATTTTAAATGATGATGTTAGAATTTCCAAACAAGCCCTTGACAATCTCAAAGACAAATCATTATTAATGATAGATGATTTTGGAAATTTGTATATGCATGATCAATTGCATGATATAGGCCGTAGACTTGCTGAGATATAATTTGGAAGATCTCAAGATCAAAATTAGTATTTGGCTACATTTAATGATTGTAATAAAAAGATAAATATTATATCATTAATTTGTCTAATCTTATAATTTTTATATGTATTAATTTACATTTTAATAAGTTGTTCATTAAATTTATATCATTTAATATATTTTTTATTTTTTATTTTTTTATTTTTTATGTAGAATCCAAAATTTATACAAGGTCTATCAAGCAAGACTTGAGGTATCAAAAACGTTTAAAAGTAGATACTATGAATTATACAAACATTAATTTATTGATTTTTTTACTTATGTGAGGATTTCAATCTTATTTCAATTCTTGTGAAACAAAATTCTAAACTTTGATGTTTGATTATGTACTTTTCAAGTGAAGATCATATAATTAAAATCCAAAAGGATGATATTGATAAGTATTAGAATATTGTCAAACACAAGGATCTTAGTCAAATGTATATACTTCACCTTGACAATTGTAAATTTCTTGAATCTTTTTCAAATGATTCATTCAAATCATTACCTTTGATAGATCTATACTTGAAAAATTGTACTAAGTTAAAAGAATTAACAACCGACTTATGTAGTATGGCATTTTTAGTTGCCATTCACCTTAAAAATTGTACCATATTAGAAGTACTTCTTAATGAATGGACAAGTCTTAAAGCTATAATAGAATTAATTATCATCAAGTGTTTTAGTTTAAAGACAATATCAAATGGAATTGAAAGCTTGATATGTTTGAAGAAACTATGGATTTCAGAATGTGAGGCTTTGGAAGAATTTCCAAGTAGATTGCTAAATTTGGTTACATTAAGAGAATGGAATTTCTTAATATGTAAAAATTTAAAGAAGTTACCAAAAGAATTTGGAAGCTTGATATGTTTGAAGAAACTATGAATGTTGAAATATGAGGCTTTGGAGGAATTTCCAAGTAGATTGCCAAATTTGGTTGCATTAGAAGAATTGAATTTCTCAAAATATAGAAATTTCAAGAAGTTGCTAAAAGGATTTGAAAGCTTGGCATGTTTGAAGAAACTATGGATGTGAAAATAAGAGGCTTTAGAAGAGTTTCTAAGTAAATTGTCAAATTTGGTTGCATTAGAAGAATTAAATATCTCAATGTATAGAAATTTAAAGAAGTTGCCAAAAGGGTTTAGAAGCTTGACATGTTTTAAGAAACTAGACAAAAATGAATGTGAGGCTTTGGAAGAGATTTTAAGTGGATTGCCAAATTTGGTTACATTGGAAGAATTAGATTTCTCAATGTGTAAAAATTTAAAGAAGTTACTAGAAGGGTATGAAAGCTTGACATATTTGAAAAAAATATAGATGAAGAATATGAGGCTTTGGAGGAATTTTTAAGTGGATTGCAAAATTTAAGTTCATTAGAGGAGTTGATATTTGTAAAGTATAGAAATTTAAAGAAGTTGCCAAAATGGTTTGAAGGCTTGACATGTTTGAAGAAACTATGCATGTAGGAATGTGAGGCTTTAGAAGAGTTTCCAAGTGGATTGCCAAATTTGGTTACATAGGAAGAATTGAATTTTTCAAAGTGTAGAAATTTAAAAAAGTTGCCAAAAGGGTTTGAAGGCTTAATATGTTTAAAGAAACTATGGATATCACATAAGAAGAATTGAATTCCTCAATGTGTTGAAATTTGAAGTTGTCAAAAGGATTTGGAAGCTTGATATGTTTGAAGAAACTATGCATGTGGGAATGTGAAGCTTTGGAGGAGTTTTTAAGTGGATTGCCAAATTTAATTACATTAGAAGAATTGGATTTCTTAATGTATAGAAATTTAAAGAGATTGTAAGAAGGATTTAAAAACTTGACATATTTGAAGAAACTATTCATAAGAGAATATGAGGCTTTAG